CACACACACACACACACACTCACACACACACTCACACACACACACTCACACACACACACACACACACACACACACACACACACACACACACACACACACACACACACACACACACACACACACACACACACACACACACACACACACACACACACACACACACACACACACACACACACACACACACACACACACACACACACACACACACACACACACACACACACACACACACACACACACACACACACCCGTTGCACATCCTCTTTGGCTGCCGTTCCCCAAACACTCAACCCACCTGGCGCAGGTGTGGGAAGCCGGTGTGGTGCGCAGCCAGCTGAGAGCGCATGCTCAGGAGCGGGCGTCGCGGTCCCGGCGTTGTGCGAAGGTGTGGGGTTTTTGGAGGTGGGTTCAAACGGAAGTGAAAGGACTACCATTCAGGTGGTTGGATTGGTGGTTTGGGGATTTCAACATGCAGGTGACCCCATTTCAACGTTCAGGTCGCCCTTAGTTGGTGGTTTAGGTTGGCGGCAACATTCAGGTAACCCTTATTTGGTGCTTTGGAGGATTGGCGGATATCAACATTCAGGTAACCCTTAGTTGGTGGTTTGGATTGGTGGTTTGGGGATTTCAACATCTTGTTTTGGTAGATGAGACATGGGTTTTACCAGCTCTCAACCACAAACCTCCAATCATGCCCGAATGGGTGTGTGTGTTTTTTCCCCAATCAGCAAAGCATTGGGGTTCTAACTTGAGGTATAGAGAATGGGAAAGTGTGACGCCGATTCCGGGGTCCTGTTTTCCGCTTGTGTTCCTGTCTCCCAGTCTCTCCGGTCAGATGCCCAGATGCTGTGGGGGTTGTGTCTCCCGCTTGTCTCCCTGTGTCTCCCAGTCTCCGCGGTCAGATGCCAGATGCTGTGACGCTGGCTCCGCGTCGTGTCTCCCGCTTGTCTCCCTGTGACGCCGGCTCCGGGGTCGATGTCTCCCGCTTTTCTCGTCTCCCTCTTTCTACCAGTCTCTGCGGTCAGATGCCAGATGCTGTGACGCCGGCTCCGGGGTCGTGTCTCCCGCTTGCCTCCCTGTCTCCCAGTCTGGGGTCGTGTCTCCCGCTTGTCTCCCTGTCCTCCCGTCTCTGCGGTCAGATGCTAGATGCTGGCTGCGCGGTCTGCGTCTGCGGTCAGACGGCAGATGCTGTGACGCTGGCTGCGGGGTCGTGTCTTTTGCTTGTCCTGTGTCTCCCAGTCTCCGCGCAGATGCCAGACGCTGTGACGCCGGCTCCGGGGGCGTATTTCGCGCTTGTCTCCCTGTGTCTCCCAGTCTCTGCGGTTGGCTGTTTGCTTAATGCCGGGCAAAACCAACTGAAGCTGCTTCTTCTTTGCGAGTTTTGGGGCTGACCTTGCTTGCTGCCAGCTGGCTGTTTTCCTGCTTTACAGCCCTCAACAGGAAAAATGAAGGTCTCGGGCAAATCCAACTGACCTGTTTCTTCTCACTGACCTGGCTTGCTTTGGCATCCAGTAGCTGGCGTTCGGCTCCCTTCGGCTCCCTTCGGCTCACGTGGCATGAGAAGCATCAAGCTAGAAACATGGATTCGACACAAACAAATCGTGACATCCGGCTGATTGCTTTGCTCAGGAAACTGAGCTGCTTTTTAGAAGCCAGTGCCGCACTTCTTGGTGAAGCGCAGGTTTGCATCCTTGTGGAGCACCAGCAGGGCCCTGAATATGTCTATGTTTCTCGATAAAAAACAAATATATAGTGACATCTGGCTGATTGCTTTTTGGAAGCAAGTGCCGCACAGCTTGGTCAAGTGCAGGTTTGCATCCTTGTGGCGCATTAGCAGAGCCCTGTCGAGCCTTAAAAATGTAGACTGGTTTCGATAGACAAATACGGCTGATACCGAGCTGCTTTTTGGAAGCAAGTGCCGCACTTGTTGGTCAAGTGCAAGTTTGCATCCTTGTGGCGCATCAGCTGAGCTCTGTCGAGCCTTAAATGCTTGGTATCCTTGTAGCGCATCAGCTGAACAAATACCGTGACATCCGGCTGATACTGAGTTGCTTTGTGGATGCCAGCGCCGCACTTCTTGGTCAAGCGCAGGTTTGCATCCTTGTGGCGCAGAGCTGCTTTTTGGAAGCCAGCGCCGCACTTCTTGGCCAAGTGCAAGTTTGCATCCTTGTGGCGCATCAGCTGAGCTCTGTCGAGCCTTAAATGCTTGGTATCCTTGTAGCGCATCAGCTGAACAAATACCGTGACATCCGGCTGATACTGAGTTGCTTTGTGGATGCCAGCGCCGCACTTCTTGGTCAAGCGCAGGTTTGCATCCTTGTGGCGCAGAGCTGCTTTTTGGAAGCCAGCGCCGCACTTCTTGGCCAAGTGCAAGTTTGCATCCTTGTGTGGCGCATCAGCAGAGCCCTGTCAAGCCTTAAAATATGTACTTTTGCTCTCGATAAACAAATACCGTAACATCCGCCTGATTGCTTTTGGAAGCACTTCTTAGTCAAGCGCAGGTTTGCATCCTTGTGGCGCATCAGCAGAGCCGTCGAGCCTGAAATCTGTATATTGTTCTCGATAAACAAGTAGATCGTGACATCCGCCAGATTGCTTTGCTCAGGCTTCTGAGCTGCTTTTTGGAAGCCAGCGCCGCACTTCTTGGCCAAGTGCAGGTTTGCGTCCTTTTGGCGCATCAGCAGAGCCCTGTCAATCCGCAAATGTGTACTTTTGTTCTCGATAAACAAATACCGTGACATCCGCCTGATTGCTTTGCTCAGGAGACTGAGCTGCTTTTTAGAAGCCAGCGCCGCACTTCTTGGCCAAGTTTGCATCCTTGTGGCGCGTCAGCAGAGCCCAGCCAAGTGGCCGTAGCTGACTGGTTTGCATTCTTGTGGCGCATCAGCAGAGCCCACCAAGGGGCCTTGACTGATTGTTTTGCATCCTTGTGGCGCAGCAGAGCAGCCAAGTGGCCGTAACTGACTGGTTTGCATCCTTGTCACACATCAGCAGAGCCCAGCCATGTGGCGGTATGCATCCTTGTGGCGCATCAGCAGAGCCCACAAACTAACTGGTTTGCATCCTTGTGGTGCGAACGTGACTGGCTGACTAGTTTGCATCCTTGTGGCGTATCAGCAGAGCAGCCAAGTGGCCTTAACTGACTGGTTTGCATCCTTGTGGCATCAGCAGAGCCCAGCCAAGTGGCCGTAACTGACTTGGAATGGAGAAGGGGCACGGCTCAGAGGGCGGGGGTCAGCCACCATCTTCGCCAAAATCGTATGACGCGGCGCTGCAGGAAAGACCTCCAGCGGATGACACCAGCAAGTTGCGCAAGCAAGTTGTGTTAGCAAGTAGCACTAGCAAGTTGCACTGGCAAAATGCCACTAGCACTAGCAAAATGGCGCAAGCCAGTAGCACGAGCAAGATAGCGCTAGCGAGATGCATGAGCCAGTAGCTCTAGCCAGTGGCACTAGCAAGTAGCACCAGCAAATGGCGCTAGCAAGTTGCAGTAGTGAGTTGCACTAGGAAGTTGCAGTTGCGGCAAGCGCTGCGCGCAGAGAGCGAGAGCGTGCTCAGACAACTTGCTCATTGAAACTTGTTCAGCGAAAGTTGCTGAGAGAACTTGCTCAGGCAATTTGTGCCAAGAACTTGCCTGGAGAACTTGCTCAAAGGAACTCGCGCCAACAACTTGCTCAGAGGAACTTGCGCAGAGAACTTGCTAGGATTACTTGGCGCCGCTTGCTTCTCATTCTTTCTTTCCACCCATCTTCTAGTCTCCTCTTGGTAGCATCACTGTAGTTCGAGCACCCTTTCTTGTTGGCAGTCCTGTTGAAAACCTTGCCTCCTATCTTGTTGCCAGTATTTAGCACCTTCTCAGTTGGATAGACATGTGGCCCGGCCAAAATCATATCCAGTCTTTCGCTTCGCTAGCGCTTTTTCCTCACCTATGTAATCCGGTCCCACTGGCAAACGCATTTTGCTGAAGCATCTCACAGCTTCGTGATGGCAAGGTCGCAGCTTTGACATATCTCGTTGCCTCCTGACAGAAGGGTTGAAGACAGATTTCTCAGCTTGTTTCCACATATTCCGCAATATGGACGTTGCTGTTTTGCACGTGTCCGAAAGTGCCAGGGCTTGCAAGTGCGAGGGCTCAAGGGTTTTCAGGCGCTAGCTTCCCTACAGTCTCTGGACCCACACCAAAGGGGTCAACGTGAGCTGTATTGCATGGCGCTTGTGCTAGCCTCCCGCAGTGAGTATTTTTGGAAATCCGAGCAATTCCATTTCATTCTCGCAATCAACGTTCTTTTCCGAGATCTCGACTTGAAGTTGGCAGCTCCGGGCGAGATTCTGATTTACTTGCTCGCAGCATACGTGGCTTGTCGGGAAACCAAGCTGGAGGGATGTGCTGGTACCATCAAGACCATCCATTTCTTCTTTGACGACACGGCTTCACCTCCACTACGCCTTGAACTTCAATTGCGAGCGTGGGAGTCACATTACGGAATGGCGGCTCTGGTGCTCAGGGTGATTGCAACAAGGAGACACGGTCATGGCCATGTTTCGACACATGTTCGGTGGCTCTATAAACAAAAAGAGTTTCTAACGCCGCCGCCGTGTTTGATGCTTTCTTTTTGGGGTCCCATCAACAAGAGCCGTTTCGCCAATCGCAGAGTGGCTTGGAACGACAAGTGAACACTCAGTCAAGCAGGCGTGCTTATCATCTTGTTGCATCGTAAGGGGGGGTCCAAGCTCCAAGGTTTTTTCTGACCGGTTTCCAGAAAGAATTGTCCTGGAAGTATAGCCTGGGTGAGTCGGGCCCCCAACCAAACCATCAGCTCGTAAGAGTTGTTCGCATCGTCCCTGCACTTGTCGAGCTCTCCTCGAAAAACTTGGTTGATGCATAGGAGCTCCTGGCAACCTACTTTGCTGACCTTGACAACTTGGAAAGGGTTCACGAACCCGGCCAGTTGATTACAGTGCTGCTGGAGCTGAGTGAACGCAAGGCCCAGAAGTTGTTGCCAGCGGCGTGCGTTGGAATGACGGCCGCCGGTCGTTCACCACACATGTGAGTTCCATAAGCACCAACTCCAAGATGAACCCGGCCAAGCTGGTGGTGCCCACTGTGCAGCCAGCATTGGTAAGTTGGGGCAAAGTTCTCACACGTTTCCGAGATGGAGCAGGGCTGGAGCTGACGTTCAAAGCCAAGCTTGTTCCAGAATGGAGCGGCGTTGGGCGCATGGAGCGCGCTGGACACGACAGAGATGAAGGCCCTGGATGAGGATGACCAAGCAACTGCCGGCTCAAACACTGAGGATTTTCTGGAGCTGTGCCGGGTGACAGAGGTGCGCGCCAAACGGGAACCTTTGCTGACGCTTGCCAATTTGGCGCGGTGTGTGTCTGTTGCTAGGCGAGGATGTCCCGGCCGTAGCGCTACAAGGCGCAGTCTGCAAGTTTATGCAAGCGCTCTCTTGCTTTGCTTGTGGCAAGACCTTTAGCCGAGCTCGAGAAGAATAGCAACCAGAAGTGGCATGTGTCCAGTCTCGACCGCAAGCTGCTGAGACTGAGAGCAGCGAGACGGGCACCAAATGCTGCGGTGATGGAAAAGTGCATTGAGTGTCCGTACTACGAAAGTTCCGTCGAAGCCTTTGATTAATGCCAGGCGTTAGGTTGATTCACCTTCACTCTCGAACATGGCATTGACATGGAATTTTCTCCTCGAAGTCGATGAACAACATCGATGCTTTTACCCGGCGTCAAGGAGATGGATGGACCCGATGTGTCCTCTTCCCAACTGCAGGGACATACATGGACTGATTGTAACTATGTGTTGCTCACATAAGCTACTCAATTTAGCACCTTACATGAAGCAGACAAGCCGTTTTTTGGGGTTCTGCAGACTTGTCATGCCTTTTTGCTGTTTGGGGTCGAGGCTGGTGTAATTTTTTGACTTGCAGTTGGGTTCTTCTTCCAGAATCCAAACGAGGCCTGTGGTTTGAGGGACCGATTCCATTTTTGCGCTCTATTTTGGAAATCTATTCAACGGGATTTGCTTGGCCGTTTCGCTTGTGTCTCAAAGAGTCATCGAAGACACAAGGGAAAGCAATCCAGGACGGTCGCAGATCCTGTCCTTGCATCCACATATCCTGAACAGCTTGAGTGGCACAGCCAAACCAGTGTTGACCCCATATTGATCAACCCCAGTTATGAATAGGAGGGTGTCCCTGGATTTACCAGGGAATCATCCCTTTTGGAGGGAAACACACCCCAAAAAACCTGGGCTTGATTCATAGGGTCAACATTAACAAACTGATTGAACGTGCATGGGTGTCGATGGTGCCCTTGCGTTTGTGTGAGGGCCCGCAGGCGCCTTTTGTTTGACCCGGTAGACTCAAACATCGGGCGACTGAACGTGGAGCGTGTCAGGAGCGGCGAGCCCGGGACGCGCTGAGGGCCAGCCAGGAAGCCTACCACGCCAGGCTGGAGAAGGTGCGGGAAGAGAGGTTTGGTCAGATTGCTGCGGTTCATTCGGGAGGGGTATAGGGAAAGTCACACACTTCCCAGGGAATGACCGGGATTTTGAGAATGAACCTAGGGATTCCCTTAAAGGAAATCATAGGGGATGGTGTATAGGGGTCATTGCCGTATTCCCTGCTGAGAACTAGCAAGAAAAACCAGGAGACTTTCGTTTTTTCCCGTGTCCTTTAGGCTTGGGCAAGCAAACTCGACCGTGCCTCAAACGGGTCTTGAGATCCTCATCCGCCTTGAAGCGGTTGATGTCGGGATTCTTACTCCCAAAGTCAATGATTTTTTAGCGCTGCTGCTTTATTGCTGGTGCACAAGTCAGGTGGGTGAGACGCGAAGCGAGAAGACGGAGTCGCAAGCGCAGAAGAACGACAAGCTGAAAGCCAGGACTGGACCCTTCCATTGGAATCCTGCATGGTCCATCTGCTATGTGGCTGTGGGTCAAAAATAAACATGGTGGTACATTTTGATCCATACCTATGTGGGGCTTGGATAGAAGCGTCAGCACGCTTCCTGGGAAGATTTATTTGTGCTTATAAAAGGAAGCTGCCACAAGTTGCCACAGAGAGAGAGGCTCGATGGGAGATATGGCAACGTGTCAAAACGATAAAGGACACCCACTCACTCCCATGGTGGTGGTAAACAACGAGTTTGGACTTGTTTTGGGCCATCCCCTAATTAGAGCTTGGGCGTGCTTTGTCCGGGTTGCAACCTGGACACATTGACATGGCGATTCGCTTGCCCTGACGGACCCCCTTGAAAGGGGTTTGTGCACATGAGTTTTCCCACCAAAGGGTCATGTCCACCAAAGGGTCCCTTGCGATTCACACGCGTGGGCAAAGCTTCAGGATCCAGGTCTCGCTGATGCAGCAGCTGGAGGAGCAGCGGAAGCTGGAGTGCGACCGGCAAGCGGTGGCGCCTCGGAGGAAGAGACACCCCGATGGTTTCTTTTCGCTCAAGGGCTCGATTCATTTTCGGGGTAGATTCATTTTCGGCGTATTTCCTAGTATTTCCAACATTTCTTCGTTTGAAGGGACGCCCAGGGCAAAGCAACCATTTGGGCTGTTTTTGGGCAGGCCACGTTCTCGAAATTTCTGCTCAGAGCATGTTTTTGAACATCGCCTTTTGGAAAAGCCAGTCCTTTTGCTCGGGATGTTTAAAGGGGAACTATGGGGGGACCTATTTCTCGGGCGAGCCCCACCAGGTCGCTGGCCGGTGGATCCCTGTGGGCTTAAGACATTTCTATGAAGAGAATGGCGATGCGCCGATGATTTTGAGAACACATTTTGAGGTGGGCCAAGACAAGGCAAAAACGGCCCCCCGGAGTTTTCCGAAAAAGAAAGGGCCGTTTGGGTTTCGGAAATTTGGTTGGGAGGTTTGACGAGCCGAGCTTTGGACGCCAATGGAGGGGATTCGGAGGAAACAGAAATCTTGGATCCCACTGCCTGATGGACACCATCGACATTTGTAAACAGCAACTGTCAAGTTAGTTGGCGGCTGCTTGAAGTATAAGAAGGGGTTGAACAGGGGCCAACAGGCCCACAAATTCAAGGAGTTTGCAGGACATGCATCTATTGAGTTTACAGGTGGAGCATCAATGATGGCGAACAAAAAAAAACCGCCCGACCTGTGGGTCTTCTTTTTGGAGGGGGGGAGGGGAGGAGGGGTCTGGGAGGTGTCGCTCAGCAGGTTTTTGCGGGCTAAGGCTACAGAAGAGAAGCTGGAAGCCGCCAGACTCCGGCGCTTCCGCGACTCCAGCGCCTCGTCGTTTCGCCGTTTTGTGGGGTGTGTGAGATTTTCAGAAGGCATGTGATGGGTCCAAATCCAAATAGTACCCCCAGGTGAACATCCGATTCAATCCAACCACTAAAACAGGTTCTAAAATGGGTGGTGAATTCACCTACCCCAAAATGGTACCGTTGGTTTTGACCCACAGCCAAATGACTTCTGAGGCTTCCCTTCTGGTTTCCTGTCGGTTTCTCTTGGTGGTTAGTTTCCAACCGCTTGGAGACATACCCATTTGGGATGGTGTCAAGAGGAGATCAATACGAAACTTGGAGAGTATCGCCCATTTTCAGCGTGCAAATCGTTTGAGAGGCCCCCAAGTTTTCAGATACGCCCAAGTGGCCAGAGAGCAAGCCATGCAGCCAAGCTTGCCAGAAGCTCTCATGCTGTGTCAACAGAGGTTTCATGTTGATTGAAATCTGCTCCCCCGAAAGGGCCTATTCTGGTTCCCCAGTCTCGACATCAACCGATCCCTGAGACAAGTACAACTTCTTGGAGAAGGCCTTTGGCGAGCAGGCGGGCTCGTTCCCAAGGAGCTTGGGTTCCCAGTCATCACACGGAGCCCGCAGCACTCATGCACCCGCACGTATCTAAGCAAATACATAACATATATATATATATGTATATATATATATATATCTATATCTACTTGCCCCTGGAAGTTTTCCGCAGCTTCAAGCGAAAGGGAAGTTCATTTGAAAACTCCAGTTTGGAAGGCCGAGTCGCTGATCTCGGGATCTCGGGTGCAGGTGAAGTTCGACCACAAGTTCTCCTTCACGCCCACTTTGAAGGATGGCTGGCACCTCAAGGTGCGGCGGTTGGTTGCCGATGAATTCGCCTGGCCTTGACGGGTGAGTGAGCCAAGTACGTATGGGTGAGCGGATTGGCGCGTTGCAACATGATCTTTGCCGGACGCAAGCTGTCAGTGTCAGCAGTAAGTTGCGCTGGTGCTACCAGGCATATCCTGATGTTGGGATCAGGCATGCTTTGTTCCCAGGTTGTAGCAAGCAATTGTTGATGTGAGGCTCTTCATTAAGTTGAAGCTGTAGAAGGCATTTCTGAGTTGCTTGGCTCTTTTGTTTTGCGGAGACTTTTGGCTCTTTTGTTTTGCGGCACCCTTTCCGTTGAAATCTCTTCTCCACCGCGCAGGGTGGGGTCATTGGTTAGGAATCGTGAGAACTAGGATTTCAATTCCTATAGCTTGCACCAATCTCGGGTCAGAGCCAAGTTGACGCCTTGCTTTGCCCTTTGCCCCTTTGCCTGGGGCGTCTCTGCCTGCCCCGCCAGGGCAATCTTAGCTCAAGCGCGCCCACGCTGTGAGCCGGAAATCAGCGCGAGAACGTGCTGGAACGAAAATAAGAGGAGTTTTGAAGTTTTGCACCCCTTAAAATTTGAACGTGAAACCCAAATTGGGCTTGGCCTTGACACATTCCCCACTCATATGCCAGCAACGCTCGTTTCACCCACCGGTTTGCGCACAACTGCCGCAGTGTGGACCCGTAGACCTCTAGGGAAGTGACGCTCGCATGCCGAAGGCGATGTCGGGGTTAGAAAAGATAACGCAGCAGAAGCACGCGTTGCTTTGCTCGATTGGGGGGTTGGCGGGGGGCGGGGTGGTTGGCGCAGTTCAGGGAAGGATGGTCACCAACTCTGAACAAATGTTTTTAGGCAACCAATGCAGGCGAGCCATGAGGATTGCTCAGACGGAATTTCAACCATGGCACACATGGTCATCCGGCTTGGTCTTAAGTTGACATTTCCCTCTATAGCCTGTGCAGAAGCACTTCGCTTTGGCAGACTCATTTGGTGGCTTGCTTTGTTACACACCATTGCATGGATTGAAAGACTTGATCCCGGCGCAAGCTGCTGAATTCCAAGCATAACTCATACAAGGATGAGAACAATGGTCACCATGTACCAGCAGCCAAGAGGCAAGATGCATGGCAGCGACACCACCGGGAAGATGACCAAAGGACATTCCCTTCAGCGCATCAAAGAGCAGAAGGCATAGCGAATCCTGTCGCCTTCGGGCACCGACGACCGACGCCCTGCGCGTCTTCATGCCGGAGTGGTTGAGCGGCCACATCCCGGACCGCCGGCGCCTCAGGTGTGAAGTCGACAGTGTCTGCGCTTCTCTCGCGTTCGGGGCGAGAGCGGTCCATACGGGGGAAAAAAAAACCAACAGCTGGCTGGTTTGGGAAAGCTCGAGTGTCAAAAGGACATTTGATTGGGAAGATGTGTCCTTGTTCGGGGATGAGAGTACTGGCCGGCCTCAAGAGGCTTTGGGCCGCAGTCATCTTGTGAGCGAATGGGCTTCCGTTGGGAGGTGGAAGAGCGCAGTAGGATCCGCAAGCGGCATCAGACGAATTCGGGATCCGATGATTTCTTCCGAGGCAGGGATGATTTGCGGGAGAACTACTCCTTCTCCCTGGAGGGGCAGAGTGAACTCCTGCAGTTCCTGAAGGCTTGGCTCCTTCTTGGTCCCGCTTCCCAGAGCCGAAGCAGTCCATGCCTTTGAAAAGGAACTACATGCCTGCAGCTTGAGGCCTTTGTTCTGTTTTTTGCTGGCATTTCCGGCCAGAGGGGGGCATGTTCGGTCTGTGCGGGGGGATGCCTAGAGGCCGTGCGGCCGGAGTGGTCCTTCCCCAAGAAGAACGGCCAGAGCAACGTGGGCAGCGCCCCGGTGAGATTGGAGCGCCGATCCGAGTGTTAGGAGGGCAACCCCCCCCCCCCCGTGGCACGGTTTCCTTTTGGTCTGCCTTTCAGAGAGGAAGCGAAACAGCATTCACCTTGGGTTGGGGTATTTTGTCTGTTGAACGTAGGGCTGTTTTCCATGGTATTCCTTGTCTCGGCTCTCTCTGATTCGCACTTGCGTTTGTTCAGGCGTGATGGAGAAGCTGAAAGCAGTGGGTCCGGGTCTCAGGAGCTTCGCCCAGAAGGGACATGGCCCTCTCGGCGCGAAGACGCGGGCATGTCCTTTTGAGTATGGCTTCGCTTCAAAGGGAATACTACTTTGGGCCAGCGGCTCACTTTAGACTTTGGAGCAGCCCACTGGACGAATCCATGGGACACCAGGTCCGGGCTCATAAGTCGCTTGAGGCATCACCAGCGTCTGGGAGCTCTTCCGCGCCGTCATGCGCAACAGCATCAACGAGGACCTGGCGCAAGCTGGGCCCGGGGGCTCGTTGAAGGGCTTGACAGATGACCGGCGAGAGGGGAGCAGCCAGGAATGAATGAGAGCAACGTCAGAGACAGCGATGGGGGCCTTGAACATTTTTTTTCCGTTTCTCTTTGTCTAAAAGTCCATGGTTAGTTTTCGGGTGGGTGTAGGCGGCCATTTTAGCAGGTTGTATGCGCCCCTTTCAATTGGGGCTCTTTCCAACTCAAATCCCCTCGGTCGGGAATTCACGTATCTCATGGAGGTATGCTTAACATCAATGCGGGATGTTGGTTTCGTTTGGTTTGTTTGGTTTCGATGAAAAAGATTGCGTAAAGCTGCCAAGCTCCCAAATACTCTACAACCTGGACCTTTGTCCTCCTGAAAAGAACAACGAACGTAGTTTCCGCCTTTGACTGGATATGCGGGAAATCGTAGCACTTGTTTGCCGCAAAACCTGAAACCTCTCTCGGAGCGAGGTATTCGGTCCTCAGCAAGGAGACCTTGGACCGGATCCGGAAGCGCATGAGCTTCTTCCGCCAGCCGACGCCTCTTTTTTTTCCTCCGGCGTTGAATGGGGGTTGGACACACATTTAATCAGGAGGCCTGCGACCTGCACTTTTGGGTTTGGCCAGCCTTGGAGCGGTCGGTTTGCGAGAAGAGTTTGAGTATTTATGTGGTGTCCCTCTAAAATATCTCTCTTTTTAACAAAAGATCAACAACCCGCCAAGTGGTGGTGGGGGTTGGCTTGCGTGTGTGGGGGAGGTGGGTGGCGGTGGTGGTGGTGGTTGTTGTGTCTCTTTTTGCGCAGGTGTCCATTTTGTCTGTTGGCACGCCTTGCCCTCGCCCAGTTTGGACGTTCTCACGGAGACGGATTGCCGCCAGATTGGGGCCTTTGCGCCAGCGCCGCGGGCTGCAAGTTGGGGTCTTTCGGTGCCTCCCTTGGGCCGCCTTTCACGGATGCAGGGAGGGGTGTGGGGGGGGGGCCTGGGCTTAGGCCAATATGAGGGGCTGAATAATTACTAACCTTTTGCCCGCATGATCATGACTTGATATAGTGTTAAAATGCGTGGACCTCAAAACCCTATTGCAAATATCCGAGTTCTTATATGACTGTAGCTGCCAGTGCGGAGTTGGGCGATTTGGGTGGCCGGGATAGTGGTAGCGCCCATTGCTTTCCACTGAGATTTGAAGCTCCAGGAACGACCTTGGACACGGCTTGGAAGTTCTTTTTGATTTATTCTTCTTTTCCCCTCCATGGCTTCACTTTTCGCCGGTAAAATTGGTGTGCTGATTTCTTTTTGTGCTGGACACCAAGGTGCCGCAGCTTCTATCCCAGAAGAAGCTGGCGTACTGGAGCTGCTTGGGCTGATGGCTGGAGCTGGGAGTTGGCCATTGGGTGCTGAAAGGATGGCCCAAACAAAGAAAGACTGCGCCAGGGTTTTCCCCACTTTTTGACTATCATGACTTGAAACCCGGGGTAGCAGGGAATTTTCGGGGTTTGCAGCCGATTTGCAGGTCCCAGGTACCAGCTTTTCCGCGTGCTGTGGATGTTGCAAAGGGCGGAGGGCACCTGTGAGGCGCATCTTTTTTGTTTTGCAATTGGCCTGATTCCGATGTTCTCACACCGACCTGGGGGTGAGTGGACGGCCTTTCAAAGATGGCAGCTACAAACTACAGCAGAGACCCCAAACAGTTGAGGACTGACGGGCAAGCACAAACATGCCAACAACTTGTGGCTTTCTGCGCTTCAACATGAATACATCAAAATGATGCGATCTTGAACCTGGCACGCGTTGCGTTGCTGCACGTGTGTTGCTGGCGTGCTTCTCGCTTCAGCGCCGCGCCAGAACTGAGGTTGGGCAAGCGCATGCGATAGCGGGCGAGCGCGCGCGCGTGATTGCAAGTGTGGCTGAGCGCGCGGTCACATGGGCAGTTCAGACACACATGTCCAATTTAGACAGAAATGTGTGCGTGCGCGTGGAACACACATATGTATACGACTGAAACAGTACACGCGGCGCACGCATAAGCGTGCTGAGATGGAAACAAACACGTGCTTCTTGGAAAGCACACACACACATGTGTACACCTGTAACACATATCATATGTGTTCACCTACGGCACGCTAGTGTGTTCACGTGGAACACACATGTGTTTTCACTTGGAACACAATGAAACGCGCGTCCAATTCAGACACACATGTGTGTACACGTGGAACACACATGTGTTCACCTGGAACACAAACACGTGCAATGAAGGCGCGCATGTGTGTACACGTGGGACACACATATGCGTACCACTGGAACACAAGTATGTATCCAGGAACGCCGCGTGTGCGATTAAAGCACACATGTGTGTACACGTGGAACACACATATGCGCACACGTGAGTTAAACATAAATCCTCACCCAAAGCGCACACACATGTACCTCGAAAACAATCATGCGTTTTCTGGAGCACATACTACACATGTGTGTTCCACGTGTGCACATGTGTGTGTTCACGTGTGCACATGCGTGTCTCGCACGTGTACACATATGTGTGTTCACGTGTACACACATGTGTGTTTCAATTGGACACGTGTGTGTGGCCCAGGTGAAGACATGTTGGGTTTCAGATGAACACTGCTGTGTGTGTGTTCCGGGCGCACATATATGTGTGTTCACGTGTGCGCAAATGTGTACACATATGTGTGTTCACGTCACGTGTACACACATGTGTGTGTGTGTGTTCCAATTGGACACGTGTTTGCGTTCCAGGACAACACGTGGCTGTTATCCGGTGAGGACACTGGTGTGTGCCCCGGGTGCACATATATGTGAGTGTTCACGTGTGCACATATGTGTGTTCCACGTACGCACGTGCGTGTTCCAAATGAACACGTGTTTGTGTTCCAGGTGAACAGATGTGTTCCACGTGAACACATGAGTATGTGCTAGGTGAACATTTTGTGCATCTGACGACATATGTGCTCTCCAGGTCTGCACACGTGAACACACAGATTTATGTGCACGCGGAAAACACAGACACGGACGAGTGTTCATCTGATAACAAACACGTGTTCTCCTGGAACACAAACACGCGTCTGATTGCAACACAGAAGTGTGTACACTGGAACACACGTCTGTGTACGCGTGGAACACACATATGTGTACACGTGAACACGCAGATACATTTGCGCGCCCGGAACACACACACACACGCACACACACGTGCGTTCATCTGAAAACAATCATGTAGTCACCTGAAACACAAACACGTGTCCACCTGGAACACAGATGTGTGTATACGGCAACACACAAATGTATACACGCGGGACACACATAAGTGTACAAATGAGCACACATACCACACACACGTGTTCATCTGATAACAAACATGTGTTCTCCTGGAACACAAACACGTGTCCAGTTAGAACGCACATGTGTGCACACGTGAACACACATATGTGTACACGTGAACACACATACATGCGTTCATCTGACAACAAGCATGTCTTCTCCTTGAACACATACGCGTGTCTGATAAGAACACACATGTGCGTACACGTGCACACACACATGTGTACACGTGCAACACGCATATGTGCACACGTGAACACACATATGCGTATGCGTGGAGCACACATATGTGTACGTGCGAACACACACGCGCATATGCGCACCCGGAACACGCACACACACACACACACACGCGTGTGGGTTCCCAGTTATCCAAATTTGCTTCCGCTCTCCTCGCGCGCAATTACCATGGAGTGCGGACAAAGAGAGAAAAACGGCTGAGACAAGAAGGCGGCCTTGTACCGACCATACGGAAGAATGGGGTTGCGTGTTTCCCTGCAAAAGCAAATGCTTTACTGAATCGATACGCAGAGTTGCCACAATAGGATAAAGGCACTTTAGAACGTTCTATCGAGCAACAGATTGCTCGATACGAAAGACAATGCGCAGCCAGGCGAAAAAGATGCGCAATGCGCCGTCAAGCTTTTGCTAAGCTGTAGATGCTGGGACGCATCCGATACTGACAGTACTAGCAGTAGTAGCAGCAGCAGCAGCAGGTTCGCGCGCTAGCAACGTGTTGCAAAAAAATCTAGATTTGGTCGCACACATGCATATAAAGCACAAGCGCTGTTCAAGGCAGAGCCCCATGGAATAGCGCCTCACAGCCGGCTTGGGGAACTTGATTTATGTGTCGCCCAGGCGTGCAGAAAATGAAAATTCCATGAAAAATCCATGTGAACACGTTTTTGTCGTCCTGAACGCATGTGTGTTGCACATTTGTGTTGTGCGTGTTTCTCCACATGTGCACATACGTGTGTTCCCTGTGTACACATATGTGAAGTCAACACAGAGAGTTTGTTCGGGTTAAACACGTTTGTGCGATCTAGGTCTGCACCAGTGTTGCACGTGAACACAAATGCTTGTTCCAAGTGAGCACATGTATGGGTTCCAGGTAAACACAAATGTGTGTTGCAGATGTACGCACATGTGTGTGTTCCAGGAACACATGTTTGTTATCAGATGAATGTGCTAGCGCCTTGCCAGCGCGCGGCTCGCAGGTTCGCCAGTGGGGAGCGGGCGATCCATTGGTGTTTGCAGGACTCCGCTTTGTATGAGTGAAAAACTGCAAAAAATTCCTGCGACGGTGGCCTCTGTAGACTAAACTTGATCGGATCGCATGTGTGTGTTTTTCAGAACAATCCCATGCTTTCACCTGGAACACAAAAATGTGCCCCACTCAGAGAGCCGTGCCAGGCATCCAGGCTGGGAGACAACGGGAGACAAATGAAGGGAGACAAAGAAAGAGACAAATCAACCCATCCACCCAGAGACGCACGGCTCTCTGGGTGGATGGGTTCATTTCTCTCCCTTTGTCTCCCTTAAAGCGAGACAAAGGGACCCGTCCACCCAGAGTGCCAGGCAATCAAGCTGGGAGACAACGGGAGGCAAATGAGACAAAGGGAGACAAATGAACCCGTCCACCCACAAACCATCCAGGCTGGGAGACAACGGGAGACAAACGAAGGGAGACAAGAGCCGTGCCAGGCATCACCCAGAGAGCCGTGCCAGGCATCCAGGCTGGGAAACAACGAGAGACAAATGAAGGGAGACAAAGCAAGACAAATGAACCTGTCCACCCAGAGAGCAGTGCCGGCATGCAGGCGACAACGGGAGACAAATGAAGGCAGAGAACCTGTCCAGCCAGAAATCCGTGCCAGGCATGGGGAGACAAAGGGAGACAAATGAACCCGTGCACGCAGAGAGCCGTGCCAGGCAGCCAGGCTGGGAGACAACGGGAGACAAATGGGTTTAGGGGAGACGAATGAACCCGTCCACCGGCATCCAGGCGACAATGAAGCCGCGCCAGGCATCCAGGCTGACAACGGGAGACAAATGAAGGGAGAGAAAGGGAGACAAATGAACCCGAAAACCGTGCCAGGCATGGGGAGACAAAGGGAGACAAATGAACCCGTCCACCCATGGGGAAAAAAGACTGAAGGAAGCTGCCAAACAAGCTAGTGTTTTGTAATTGTTTTGCCTGGTCTGGTTTTTGTGAAGGCAAGTTTGTTTGGCCCTCCCCCGCTCCTGCCAGATGCGACTCGGTTTGAGGCAAGTTCGTGTCCAGTGACGCCAAGAGCATGGACGAACGGCCGCTTGCAAAGGGAGAGGGGGTCATTTCAGACAGGTTGCGTCCTGCTAGGGTGCGGAAGGCTTTGCTACACCCACCTGGTTTTGGGGTGGAGCAGGTGTGGCGGGGAGGTGTGTGTGTGTGTGTGTGTGTCTTTGTGTGTGTGTGTTTGTGTGTGTGTGTCTTTGTGTGTGTGTGTGTTTGTGTGTGTGTCTCTGTTTGTCTGTGTGTGTGTGTCTCTGTGTGTGTGTGTCTGTGTGTGTGTGTGTGTCTGTGTGTGTCTGTCTGTGTCTGTGTGTCTGTCTGTGTCTGTGTCTGTGTGTCTGTCTGTGTGTCTGTTTGTGTGTCTGTCTGTGTGTCTGTCTGTGTGTCTGTCTGTGTGTCTGTCTGTGTGTCTGTCTGTGTGTCTGTCTGTGTGTCTGTGTGTCTGTCTGTGTGTCTGTCTGTGTCTGTGTGTCTGTGTGTCTGTGTGTGTCTGTGTGTGTCTGTGCGTTTGTGCGTCTGTGTGTCTGTGTGTCTGTGTGTCTGTGTTTCTGCATGTCTGTGCGTCTGTGCGTCTGTGTGTCTGTGCGTCTGTGTGTCTGTGTGTCTGTGTGTCTGTGTGTCTATGTGTCTGTGTGTCTGTGTGTCTGTGTGTCTGTGTGTCTGTGTGTCTGTGTGTCTGTGTGTCTGTGTGTCTGTGTCCTTGTCTGTGTGTCTGTGTGTCTGTGTCTCTGTGTCTCTGTGTCTGTGTCTGTGTGGGCCTTTTATTGTGGAGATGTAAAGTGGCAGACAAGCAGCTGGAGAAGTGATTTTGACATGCCAGTTGGCAGTGACGTCAGCTGAGGTCGTCCGAGTGGCTCGGCAGATGGTTTGAGCTCAGGGTTTGCACACACCCTGTGTGTGTGTTTGTGTGTTTCAAGGAGGATCTAGGCTCAGCCTTTTCTGATTTCTAGTTGAAAGGCTTCAAACTGTTGCGCCGCTGCATTTTTCGCTGGCTGCCGGCTGCATTTCGGTGTCAACACGTTGGTGGCTGCATTGCCCCCAATTGCCGCCAGGGAGGCTGATGTTGCGTGTTCCCAGAGCGCTGCATCATTTGAGGCGAGGTCGTCTCGGGTCCTCCTCGTCTTCCCGGCGTGGCCTGGCCTACTCACTTGCACCTGCAGCCTCTCAAGGGTAGCCAGCCAACCCAGCCAAGCCAACCAGCCAAGCCAACCAGCCAAGCCAACCAGCCAAGCCAGTCCGGCCAGCCAGCAAGCCTGTGTGTGTGCGTGTGCTTGATTGAGGACCTGATAGCAGAAGCACCACGTTGTCGGGTACGAAGCTCTCCGGCTCCCTCTCTGAGTCTTGGCAAAACGGGGACACAATGTGACGGGGTGGGAGGTGCTAAGGGGTTGCAGGACCCCCCCGCAACGAAGGGGTGATCATTTCACATGACAAGCTTCTGCAAAATTGTTTCAGCCGACTCTTAGGAGGATGCAGCAACCCAGGCACCCAGAGAGTGTGGTCCCAAGTCCTTTTTGAGTGGAACGGCAACCCTGGTACACACAAGTGTCACAAGTCCTTTTGGGTGGAATGGCAACCCCTTTTGGGCAATCCCAGCCACGCAGACTCGCTCTGTCTCCTTGTGCATGGCCCCAGGGCAGCCACTCGGCCAGCCTGACGAAGCCCGCCTGGGTTCGGGAGGCGGGACGGGAGGTCTGTTTAGGTTGGGTGGGACTTGGGTGGCAAATTTGTTGGTTGAATCCCACATGATTGTGGGTCAAAGCCACTGGTACCATTTTGGGGTAGGTGCACAACCCATTTTAGTCTTTGTCAGTGGGGATTGGGATGTTCACTGGGGGTACGGGGTTTTGACCCATAGCCACATGGCAGTTGGACTGTTCGGGTTCCACTCACCAAATCCAAGCGAGCCTGAGCTGGCCCTAACCTCCTGCCAACCATCTCACGTGCGAGCTACCAAGCTTTGGTTTTCATATCTTTTATCTTTTCCTGCTTTCAGAATCATTCTTTCCTCTTGACTCCGGATGCTTCCGATCAACCAAACCTTCATTTGCCCTGCATCCGGGTTTACGCGTCGCATCACGCGCCCCAGCCGCAACGCCAGGCCGAGCGTGCAGGGCGGCCAGTGCTCCGTGGGGCCAGGAGACTGTGGCTCAAAAAACCGGTACCAAAATGGGTTGCCCTGGCAAGTGGAAACATGGACCAAAACCTGCATGACCCCTCCTGTCTAATTTTGAGCCGCATCCTAAGTCTCATCTGTGGCTCTCAAGGGGAACCCACACGCAAGTGACCATTTGAGGGGTGTTTGCTTGCTTCTGACACTTTGCCTGGGGAGGGGGGTTGCCGCCTGCAAGCAGCTTTCGACATTTGTGTTGCCGTTTCGTCCAATCGTGTCAGTCCTGGTCCTGGCCTTGCAAACCTGCGGTCGCCCTCTCTTTAGGTAAGCAGTCGGCAGATTTTGGGTGTTTCAACCCTGGCACGAATTGGAGGGCCGCAGAAGCCAGAAGTTCGTACCATTTTTTTTTTAACGAGTGTCCTTTTGTCTATAGGCTGGCGGAAGAGTGGAGGGTCTTGTCCCACAAGACCAAGGTGCCGTCAAGAGTAGTCTATTGGATATCAATCGACGCAAACCTGGTTTTCTTCATCTTGGATCCCCTCTCTATCAAGATGGTCCTGCATGAAATGGCCCACCTTGTCCCCCCAAGGGCTAGGCATCTCTGCTGTTCCGCCTTTTCGGCTCGCTTTCTTTCCTCTGTTTCGAGGAAAGCCGGGCGAGAGCAGCGAAGGGCTGAGTCCGATGTGAGGACAGGAGGGTTGTTGCTGCCTTTCATTGAAAGATGCCACCACAGAGATGGGCGTTTTGCCGTTCTTGGCCCAGTGGGCCGTACTCTGGGGCAATGTGAGGTTTGTGTTGCACAGTGGAATTTGGGTGAAAGAGAGAGTGCAGCTAGCGGAGGAGAGCAGTCAGCGTCAACCACTCGGGTCAACATGCAACTGAGGCCAAGCACTGGCCCCTACTGTGTGTGTGTGTGTGTGTGCCCGCACATACTCGTTTGCGTGTTCGTCAAATCCAGGGACCCTGCACAGATGTATCATAAAATATATATATATATACACACGTATGCATATTTACTATGGATTAAGGTAGATATATGCATATATATATATATAGCCACATAAAAGGTTATGCATGTGTGTACGACATAGGTGTGACACGACATACACAGAGACATACACATAGACACACACACAGACATTGACAGACACATAGACTTACACATAGACATACACATAGACATACATATAGAGATATAGATAGAGACATAGAGACATACATAGGGAGATACTGGAGACATCATGGACAGACATGGACATACATAGCCACACATAGACACACACACACACATACGTACGTACATATCTACATAAACTCATATGCAGGAACGTACGTATGTACATAACTAGCGCATGACGTACATACATACATGCATACATACGTACGTACGTACATACATACATACATACATGCATACATGCATACATACATCATACATACATACATACATACATACATACATACATACATACATACATACATACATGCATGCATGCATGCATGCATGCATGCATGCATGCATGCATGCATGCATGCATGCATGATACGTACATACATACATACATACATGCATGCATGCATACATACATACATACGTACATACACACACACATACATACATACATACATACATACATATATATATATATATACACACGAAACCATAACATAACATAACATAACACAACACCACATAACACAACACACCACAACATACCACAACATAACATACCATACCACAACATATCAAACACAACACAACACAACACAACACAACGCAACACAAAACACCATACCACAACAATACATAACATAGCATAGCAGAGCACAGCATAGCGCAGCATAGCATACATACATACATACATACATACATACATACATGGAGACAGACAGACATGCAGAAATACAGATATACATACATACATACATAGATACATACATAGATACATACATACATACATACATACAGACATACAGACAGTACAGACCTGTGTATACAGACATGTTAAAGCAGACATGTGTATACATACATGTGTAAACAGACATGTGTATACATACAAGTGTACACATACATGTGTATACAAACATGTGTATACACACATGTGTATACATACATGTGTATACATACATGTGTATACATACTTGTTTACATACATGTGTAGACATACTTGCATACATTCTTTTGTATATATATATATGTATACATACATGAGCATACATAATGTGTATACGTACATGTGCATACACACATGTGTATACATACATGTGTATACGTACATGTGTAACCGTACATGTGTATACATACATGTTTACATACATGTGTATACATGCACGTGTATACATACAGTGTAGACACCTGCACAACTACATGTCTTCTACTTTCATCACGCCGGTTCGCCTTGTTTAACGGCATGCGCGGCCAAGTCGGGCCAGGCGCGACAGCCAGAGCTTGAGCTTGCCGGACACCATGGACAGCAGCCAGGCGTTATCGGCAGAATGCACGCGGGGGTGGGGTCGTGGTCGCACTCTTGTCTTTCGATGTGGCCGTGGGTCAACACCAATGGTACCATGTTGGGGTAGGTGCACCACCCATTTTAGTCTATTTTAGTGGAAACTGGGATGTTGACTGGGAGTACGGGGTTTTGACCCATAGCCATGTGTGTGGCCTCTCCCTGACCGACATGAATCTGACTCACTTCTGACAAGTTGAACTGGTCAAGTTCAGCTCACAAATTCACCAAACAGAAGCACCCGCTTCCTTTGGCACCTGTTCTAAGGGGAAGTGAAAGCCAGGTGTTTCAGAATGTGCGGGCAGGCGGAGTGGGCGCAGAAGTCTGCGCTGCGGCCGCCGTCCAGGAGCTTCCAGGAGGGGTTTTGGGGGGCGAGTCTATCGGAAAAGGGAGGGGAAAAGGGGGGAGGGAATTTTTGTTTGGCAAGGCTTTTTGGGGGGCTTGTCTGGGCTCCCTCCCCCTCCCCTCCCCAGTCCACGCTCGGCTAGCTTGGAAGTTGCCAGGTGCCCGTTTAAAGAGGCAAATCCTCTTCCCAAGAGGGGCCCAGCTTTCAGAGGCAAGACCCCGCCAGAAAGGTTCTCGGGTCCCTCGCGGGCCTTTGGCTTTTGGCGCAGGAGTTTACCCAATGGCATGTTACCCTATGGTATTACCCTGCCCCTATGTGTTTGTGGGCCCCTCAACAACACCCGGGGGGGGGGGGTGTCAGGGCATTGCATTTTGGCCAACGCTCCGATCCAGGTATCCATGTCTCAGAGCCCCCAACCTTGCCAGGCAGGGGACGCCAAAACAGCGCTCGAGGTGGCCGAGCGACTTGAGAGGCCCGACGCGAGCCACCGGTGGGAATGGCGAATGGTTGGTGATATGAAGCCATGGGTGGGTCCTTTAAACAGCAAATCCGCGAGAAATGTGGAGATTTTCCTTGCTTTCTTGTGGAGTCTGTCAAGCAGAAGGGGCCAGCAATTTCAGGAAGCGGCCATGAAGTGGTGCTTGACAGTTGCCGTGAGAGTGCTTTGGCCCACGGCCTTCCAAGACGTGAGGGTCTTTGCTGCCGCAGGTCTAAGGGCGGCCTGGTGCGGCAGACCAGCCAGATGTCGATGTCAGGCTGCTTGGGGACTTTTTCGGGTGGGCAAGAGGCCAAGTCTCATCGCGTTGATGCGTTCTTGTAACGGCCAGATCGAAAACTACTCAAGTAGTGTGATGAGTGAGATCATCCTGACAAAATTCAAGTTGTGGGTGAGCCTCCGGGGGGTTTAGGAGCACCGTGCTGGTTTGCAGAAGGGCAGGTGCGAACCGCACTGAAAGCGTTCTTTGAAAGAGACATCATTTGTTGCATGCACGGGGGACTTTCTTGGGTGGGCAAGGGGAGTGTCGTCGCGTTGACGGCCACTCAAAAACTTCTCAGGCACTGTGATGAGCGAGATTCTGGGTGAGTACCCTTTTGCAAACATGCTTTCCACAGGAGCTGTAGTCTACTAACGAGGGGTTTAGGTGCACAGTGCTTGTTTGCAGGAGGACAACGTGTTCTTTGACTGTGACATCATTTGTTAGGGACGAGCAAAGCCACCTCGCAGCACTTTTGCCTTTGCGAAAGAGGGAGGCTGGGATATGCATCTCACAACTGGCGACGTGTCAAAAGCAGCTCTGGTGATGTTTTGGAGAAGCCAAGAGGAGACCGAAAAGGACTTCAAGAAGAGTCCGACCCAGGCAGACGTTTGTGGAAGGGCTCCATGTGACGCCTCTCCACTTCATGGCTTCACTGCAAAAAATCTTCTGACAGGAACACTTGGCTCCTGCTGAGGGCCCCTCTTCACCTCTTCAAAGGAGACTCTCTTGGGGGAGGCCCCAAAATGGCGCTTTTCTCTTTCCCTTCAGATGAACCTGAAAAGAGTCTCAAAAAGCACACCCATTTGAAAAGATGTCACGCATCCTTTCTTGACCCTGCCCCAAGATTTTGCCACTTCTGCATGTGGCTTCCTTCGCAGCTCGCTGGGCAACTCCGGGTAGTAGCCTTCACGTAGATGCAGGCCGCTGTGTTCTTGAGATCTTAATGCAGCCGGCTCTGGCGCCAGAGAGCTGGCTGTGGCTCCAGGCTTCCTGTGGTCCAAGTATAGGCCGAAACGCGACGAGCCCTTTTGGACAACCTGGCGGGTCTCTATCACTTGTACCCCGTACTATTCGCTCAGCCCCGACCGAACCCTATCCCCGAGTTTTTGGAGTTTAGGTTCGGAGGTGGCGACATTGTTTGCAGTGCACAAACAATGATGCCCTTGGTGAAACGGAGCGAACCGCAATGTGTTTCATGAGTGGCAGACAAAGCTCCAACTCTCCGCCGCGCTGTGCTTCGCAATGTGTAAGTACTGCAAGCGGATTGCCAACCGAATCCGACAACCATTCAATGCACAACAAAGGATTTCAAGCGTGACTTTCCGTCTTTCGCTTTTTGTCCACTTCTTTGCGCCACTGTGGTCCTGATCTCGAATGGGCGTTGGCTGCAGTGAAGTGGCGAGTGAGGAGCAGCCTGTTGCCGTTGGACAAGTGGACGGGATCTCATTGGAAACGCTGGAGCCCATCTAGTTGAGTAAGCGACCAACATTTTGCTGGACATTTTGCTGGAAACGACCAACATTTTGCTGCGTCGACTGGATGGCCAGATCAAGAACTTGAAGACTGGTTTGCCAGAGCCACTTGTGGTGCAATTCAATTGGCTCGAATCTGTCTTGGCATATCTAAGCCGACGCTTGAGGGTGGCCATCATACTGTGGACCTGTCCAATTCCCGTCAAGTCCACCTAGCACCTCGTTGCGCTGCAGCCAGCTGCAGCTGTCTTTGCCATATGACTACCGCGCCTCGTGTTAGCATGGAAACGACCCAAGCGCGTTGGCAAGCAGCATCTCTTTCAAAGGGACCGCTTTTTCTTGTGACGGACCAGTTGTAGTGGGTGGGATGGTGTAGTATATTTTTCTTCAAGACCTGCATGTGTGGACCTATGGCGGTTGCAAATGTGGCCTGCATCCCGCAACAAACCAGCATGATTCATGCATTCAAACGGGCCCATGCATCCAGCCATTGTGGCCGTGCCGTGGCGTGTTGGCAAGGCGTTGAGGGGGTCAGGCCATGAGAAAAGAAGAACCTGTCGTGTCGACGGAGGGCCTGGCAGAGTAGGCGTATGTCATGTGCCAGGGCCATCCGGCCTAACTGTTTTGCCATTTGGGGTCTCAACGTGGAGCCCAGACAGCGGTTTCCTTTTGGCTTCCCTTGAAGCCAGCCACAAAAAGAGCCCCAGCCATTTTGCCACGTTGTGAACACAACTGTAGTGAACCCCATGCAGCCCACTTGTTTGCAACTGTTTCCCAGAGATTCAGTCACTACGGCGCCCTTTGCAAGGGCGACTCTGAATTTGGTCGGATCCAAGGGGAGGGGATGGCTTGATGGCAATCGGGTAGACAGAATGCGCAGTGCACAGTGTTCAGGATTTGATTGTGTTTCTGCAACACAACACATGGAGAACCCATGGAATTCGGCTGTGTTTTATGCACTTTTGCAATGTCCAGGTTCTACAAGCAAACCCATGTTTTTCCACTTCTTTCCGCACTCCAAACCCCGATTTTGAAGAATTGGCATCTTGCGATGGCTTGCTGTTCGAATTGCTAGACACTGGGATTTTGATGAGGATGGTTCCACCTGCCCCCGTGGGATTTTGGCAGTTCCCCGCAGGTGAGGACTTCGCAGCTCAATCTGACATGACTGGCAGGGCTGGCTGGGAAGGAGGTTGGAATTCGGCCCACGTGCAAAAAGTCCTGAGGAATGATACGGTGACAAAAAGCCAAGAAAGCGACTACCTAGAGTAAACATGGTTTTATGTACCTAACTACCCTTGTGTAAGGAAACTGAGCAGCCAAAGTGTACTTCCAGTACTACAGTGAAAAGTTACGGCGGTCGAGCCGGAGCTCCGAAAGCGTCCGGACAACGCTTGAACTGAACAGTTCCCGACTTTCAAGCCAGAGCTGGCAAAGCGTACTTCAGATATTACACTTGCAGTGAAAAATTGTGACTTTCGAACGGGAGCTGCCAATGTGTATACGGCATTTGTACTTAAAAGTTGCGACTTTCGTGCCGGAACTGCCAAAGTGTACTCTGCTGGACTTGTACTGAAAAGTTGCGACCTTCGAGCCCGGAGCTGCCAAAGTGCACTTGCTTTATTGCACTTGTGCTGAAAAGTAAAGTTGTGACGTTCAAAGCCGGAGCTGGAAAGCGTGCTTCGTATAAGACATTTGTGCCGCAAAGTTGCGACTTTTTCGAACCGGAGCTGACACAGTGTACTTGCTTTCCTACACTGGTGCTGAAAAGTTGCGATGTTCAAGCCGGAACTGGAAAGCGTGCTTCGTTTAAGACACGTGCGATGTAAAGCTGCCAAAGTGTACTTCCATTTCTACACTTGTGCTGAACAGTTGCGACGTTCAAGCCGGAGCTGCTAAAGTACTTCTTCAACTACTCTTACACTTTGCAACTTTCAATCCGGAGCTGCCAAAGTGTTAAGACATTACCAGCTAGCTTCGGCTCGGTTTGCGGGCATGCTTTGATAATGTAACCTTTCGTTTGCTCCCCAAACTTGCTGGTGTTCGTCATATGACTGTTGGTTTGGCTTTGTTTGGGCACCCTGTTTGGGGGTAGTTTTCAATGAACCCTGCCGGTGGACAAACCCAGTGTTGTTCAGCGGCCCGTGCCACGGTCTGATCACTGACCTAACCACTAATCTTGGTTGCGACAACAAGGGCTGAACGCAGCTGCTGCAAGTTCGCAGGTGTTCTTGTTGGGCCCCCCTGAGCAAGTGTTCGTTGAGGAAATTTTGCTGGAAAGGACAATCAGAAGGCACGATGCCAAAAAGTACTTCCCCCATTTGCACACAAAACCATCTTTTATTCTCAATCAGGGCCTTGGGCTGGCGCCAGATTCAGCCGCATTCGGCGTGTGCTGTTGATCCTTTGGGACCTCCCAGTTTCTGCTCATCATCCCTTGCCATGAATGGTGCTGGGTCCCTTGTACGAGACTTTTTTGTTCGGTGACTTGCGCAGCTTCGTCAGGATGTTGACTGCTTGGCTGACGCCTATCCAACAATTTGAAGGGTTTCCGTTCGAGTTCTCGCCCCTTCAGTATCCATTTGTAGAGTTTCAGGAGCCGCGCTCGCATCGGCAGCTGCGTGAAAGCCCAGGAAGTGGTTTTGGGCTCACTTATGAATAATCAATGCGAAGAATAATTGGACAAAACACATAATGTAACATAATACAATACTAACCAACAACAAAGACAATAGAATGTTTTATTTTTTGCCTTGGCCTAATTTGAAACATCCCTTCACAGCCAACCTTAAGCGACTTTCCTTCGGGCGTGGTGGTATTTCATATCTGGAATGCTGGGAACCCTCTAGAATGGGCCGCGGAAGCTTGTGATGGATTGGTACCTCGGGCCCAAGAAGCAAACCTCGATCCTTCTGCAAACGCTGCGTTGCTCTCTGGGTGAGTGCATGGGATTTCGACGTGCGGTCCCTTTGTCTTGGTCCGAGCTTGAGTCATGCCTGCGCAAAGAAAATCGCCTTTCATTCCATTTTGGGTGCAAGTGAGAAGTGATTGCTGCGGTGTGTTCTTCCCCAACGCAGCATGGACATGCGCAGGTTTTGTTTGGGAGGCTGTTGTGCTATTGGAAGGGGAGCATCCGCGCTTCCATGTGGACTGTGAGAGGGTGGCCGAGTTTCGATGCCAGTCAAAGTTTCGCTCCGCTTGGAGGAGTCCTGTGATTTGTGCAGGGAGAAGGGATATGAACATCATGTTGCGCTTGTTTTGAGGTTGTTTTGCCTGCCGCGCAAGCGGGGCATTTGTGTTCCTTGACCCTCTGCAAACGACTGGGTTTCGGTTCGATCTAAAGTAGAATTGTTAGAGTTCGCCAGTTGACTTCACTGCAACTTCTGGTAAAGTGACCCTTGTCCCTCGCTCAAGGCAACAGCAGCGTTGCCTTCACGACCATTCCGATTGTGCACAGCCCGCAGCCCAGTCCGTGCTGGCGGAGATCTCGTTTCCCAATCTCACAGCTCGCAGACTCCCGTGCAGATGAAGTTGGAACCCACAAAACGGGGTCCCCCAGTCCCTCAAAGAAGTTTCCAAGCAACAAAACAACTCTTCCTTTGATCCTTTTTTTGGGGGTTTCGCCTTGTGCGGACTAGGCCAGAGTCTTTTTTGCGGACTGAGGAGCGCCCAGCATGTCGATGGCCCGGGGCCCTGCGTGGGGGAGATCCGACCGCTCGTTTCTCTGAGAAGGCACAAGGTGGGCCGCTTTTTTTTCCAGTCCCCGCAAAAATCGTTGGGTTCCCTTTGGTTTCCCTTACAAACCAACCAAACATGGGTTCCCCAAAAGACATCACCCCACTTCCGTTCACCTTTTACTTTCCCTTTTAGCACCAAGCATCATTTTGTTGCGGGTCGTTTGGTAAGAGCGACCATTCCAATTGACAGCTCCGCAGACGATGGGATTTCCAAGTCCGGGTTCGGACCTGCGGGTTGTAGTTGCGAGGGCAAACGCGGAATGAAGGTTTCTTTCAGGGGAACCGCTTATGCCCCTATTTTGGGTTGGCGAACGAATGTATATAATAAAACAAGACAATTAAACAAATGCTGACGCACATCGGCCGGATTTCGCAGCTCTTGTTCCTTGAGTGCTCGTGTTTGCAGGGAAGGCGATGAATGCAAACTCGTCATCACCTTTGTACGGAGCCCTTCTCATCAGACTGACGCGCGAAAAGCAGCTGAGTCGCTTTCGCGTAGCGTCGAGCGACAGCTCCGTGCGGTGGTGGGGTCGTTTGCGGCGCGGCTTTCCGCCGCGCAGAGTGCAGTTCCTTTCGAAAGGGTTCTGTTTGAGTCAGCCGCGCAAAGCAGGCCCTTGCGTAAGCAGCTTCATCAGGCCGTCCACGTTGGAGGTTACAGGTTGGAGTTAGTCGCCGAAAAATTAGAGCCGGAGCCGCCCCATCCTCCCGTCAAACTTCCCCAAACGCTGTCAAAGGGGTCAGATGATTAGAAAGAGGCTCCCTGATGTTTGGAAGTTCACAGATACCCTTTGGGTTGCTTCGCCTTGAGCACCCATTCTATTTGTCGGAGTTTGCCGGCCCAAGGACAGGTCCAGCACCTGTCAGCAGAAGGAGGAGTGCCCAGGGCGAGATTTACCGTATCAGAGCTCAGTTCACAAGGGGTTTGCTGGGAACTTCCTTTGGTGCAGGTTCAATTGGGACAGTGCCAAGCCACGCGGGCCGGCCTTTGTCAGTTTTAGCGTATCTTCCATGGTCATGTTTGCAGGGCCCAAATGAACGGCAACAAAAAGGTGACTTGGTGGTGGTGGTGGTGGTGGTGGTGGTGGTGGTGGTGGTGGTGGTGGTGGTGGTGGTGGTGATCGTGGTGGTGATCGTGGTGGTGGTATTCTGGGGGCTGAATGGGGCTGTGGTAATCATGAAAGCGACCACTACCCTCCCACAACAAATGTGAAATTGCGCAAGAGCAATTTCCTGTTGGATTCAAATGCTGAACGAAATCCTTTTCGAAACGATGGCCATGAAGGGTCTTATCCTGGCATTCAGCCATTGGATGGTGACCCCTTCGATTAAAATGTTTCAAAGGGGCTCCTTGGTCCAAGGGAGCTCAGCCATAGGCTTCCTCGTCCTCTTTGGCTCTGGGTCCAATTTGGACCAGCCGTGACTCGCTTCGGGGTTTCCGCTTCGGGTTCCTTTTTCAGCTTCCCAAGCCTCAAGCAAAGCCCAACATGTGGGTTCCCCCGCTAGACAAACCACACTCAGAGACAAAGCTTCTTTCCTTCATGCATATCACCCCTGAACCGCCTTGGCATTTTCCCCTTCCGGCGTCTTCCTATACATTTCTCTGGGTTTTCCGAATCTTGCAGGGGCGAAAACACAAAAATTGAGTCCAAGGAGCTTCCTGTTCTTTGGGGGAAGCTCGGGCTTTCCGTTTCCCTTTGAAAGGAGCTGGACACTTTGGCATCCACCGTGGAGAAGCTCCACCAGGCGCAAGCGGCAAGCGGATGGAGTGGTTTGGGGCGGATGGGCGTTCTTTGGTGGGCGAAATTCCCATTGAAGCCCAAGGCCCAAGGTGGGGAAAGGGCCCCTCTTTTAAGGGGCCCCTCTTAAGGTCAAGATGACCTGCCGTCTGTTGTACTTGTGACGCCAAGTCTTAAGATTGATCATGCAGTTGAAATTCAACTGGTTATGTGGTGTGGAGTAAATGGGGCTGGTCACCAACCAGTCAAGGAATAACAGACAAGGCTCCTGTTGACACAAAAGCAGTTGACCATTGCAAATTGTGGGTTTGACATGGGGCACATTCGTGGGTGCTTTAGCTTGGCCAGAGGCTTCACCCGAAAGCGCCTGTCCACATTTCAAACATTTCAAATCAGATTCTCCGTGAGGCTCGAATCCTTTGTCAGTATGTCCGTTTTCTAGGTCGTGTAGATTTGTTTTCTTTTGTTTGTTGGCTTCGGTGCGTGGTTTCAGGGCTTTCTCGGACATCCGGCTCGGGCGGCGGAGCCGCGCTGCGCAGTTTGCGATGCGAGGAGGCGGCGGCCATGCAGGAGTTCCGGCCGCCCAGCTGGGCGGTGCTGCGGCGCCACCCCGACGCCCTGCTGGAGAGCAGCCAGGCGGGAGGAGACGACACGAAGCGACGAAGCGACGCGCGCCGGGTGAGATGCCAAGAACCCCGGCTGGTGCTTGGGATTGGAGAGGTGGATGGAGGAAATCCGTTCGGCACTTACGCCATTTGTTGGTATTTGCAGGGGCATCAAATCATTCCAGCGCTTCTGAACGGTGCAGGATTTCGTCCATCCAGAAAAAGGAGCTGGGGGTATCCAATTTTGCTTAAAAAGGAGCCTGTCGGAGCTACGAGTTCTGGAAGGGCATGGAAGCAAATGGGAAAGCGATCATAGAACCGACATGGATGTAATTCTTGCACCCCCTGGCGCATTTCGACATGTATGCCAGGGTGAAACTGGATGGCGTAGTTTTCTGTATTTGGGTAAAGGGAATGAAGGGGGGAACGGTCGCATCTACTTTGACACAGACCAGGAGTGCGCTCTCGGCTCTCGGTCGATGCCTTCGGCAGTTTGGGTGAACCAAGATCACTGTGCTGTCGACTCAAGCTTAGAGCTGCGAGGGGCCAGGATCCCGTCAGGATGCCGCGCGCAGGCCTGCCAGTCTTTGGCCATTTCCACGTTTCCTGCAGCGCCTTCCGACTCCCAGCTTGCAAGAAACAGAATCAGCTTTCTGCAGACAAAAAAAGCAAAAAAAACAAGAACACAAACCATCCCGCCGTAAAGCCACATCAATGCAGACCACCACTCCACGCCGTGCCCATGCCCAGCCCGGCTCCGATCAGGGGGCCCCCTTGGGGTGGGGGGGTGGGGGGGTGGGAAGTTTCCACCGCCATGCCGGCGGCGGTCAGCGCCGCGGAGCGGGAGCTGCGCTTCGCGCTGCTGTCGGTGTTCCCCGAAACCAACCTGAAGCAGGTGAGCGAGGCAGGCCGGGAGGTGGGGAGATGGGGAGATGGGACGCTGGACATGGGCGTGGAAGATGTTCTGTGAGATTTTCAGGCCCCTCCAGGAAGGTGAGGCCCCCTTCTTGAGACAGAGACCCATTTTTGGCGCCAAGGACGAAAACATCAAGACTCGGAGATGGTTGCGCAAGAGCCTGTAAGGGTGCGCTACCATGGGGAGGGGTGCTTAAGAGGATGGGGGTCAAAAGGAATATCCACAAGGGTATTATTTGTCTTTGTTTGCTCCTCACTGACTGATTTTGCCGGCACGCTGCGTTTGACCTGTCACCTGCTGATTTGTGTCTCGCATCAAGCCCCTCCCGTTTGTTACTTGAAGTGCACGTTGACTACTGCAAATAAATTGTAGGCCTTCAACAACTGCTTGTTGGCCTTGCAACTCTCAAATCAGGCTGTTTCATCCTCTTTCAGGTCTCTGCCAGGGTCCCTGCAGAGACTTGGCTGTGGCTCAAAAAAGATGTACCCAAAATGGCCCCTAGGTAAATGGAAACAAAGAACCCCTGCGAAACCCTAGCTCTTAAATTCTGAGCCGCACCCACGCGGAAGGCGGCCCGCTGCGGCAACTTCGACGTGGCGGTGGAGATCCTCCGCGCGTCCCTGGCGGAGGCGGCGCCGCCCGCGGCGGCGGCGCCCGAGGCGGCGCCCGAGGCGCCGGAAGCGGCGGTGCCGGAAGCGGCGGTGCCGGAAGCGCCCGAGGAGTCGAGGCAGCGGGGCCGGCGGAGTCGGATGTGTGGATCAAAAGCTTCTGAGACCAGCCGGATTTGTGATCTTTGCGTGAATTTAATTCGGTTAGCTAGCTACTTGATTAGCTATTTAGCTAGCACTTGGTTTGTTAGCTAGTGATTTGTTGGTTGTTTTTTTGATACCTTGCTTGTTTTGCTTTGTTTTGTTTTGGCATGTCTGTGTCTTTTTCTTTTTTTGTTGCAGTTTGCAGTTTTTGTCGTTGTTTTTGTTTGTGTTTGTTCTGTTCGTTCATTTGTTTGTTTGCTTGCTTGTTTTTGAAGGAGTGGGGTAAGAGTGTCAAGGCTCTTGTTCAGCTCCCCTTCTGCCAGTCAGCTTGCCCCAGCTTACTTTCTCGTCAAACAGAGTTGGGCTGCCCACTTGCACTCGACTTGTGGTCTCTGACAAAAGCATGTTGGGCAGCTTTTGTCTGAGGGAGGCTGTTGATTTTGGTCAAAACTTCCCGGAATGTCTTTGGCCCTTCCATGCAGCCCCAAACCCCTCCTCAAGGCCGGAGCCACAGCTCCCAGAGCCGGAGCAGTTGAAGGAGGCTTGGTGCAGCCTGACAGCTTCGTGCGGGTTCTTCGGTGCGCATCGGCTCCTTTAGCCAAGTGATAAAAACAAGGCAGGCACGTCTGAGAGAACAGGCTTCCGGCCGGCAATTTTTGCCTTTTTGGGGACTGTTCGCTTTGGGACTGTTGGGTTTTGTGCTATTTTTTTTTCTGCAGTTTCATGCGTGTGTGTGGAGCCTGCCTTGTTCTAAACGGTCATATGCTGCGTTGCTGGCTGGTTTCAAGGGATATCACTAGTAAGTTGATCAACTTTTAATTTGGGGATACGCAACTGCCCACCCTTTTCCTAGTTTCTTCCCCTCGAAGCAGGGCTATTCCTTAGAGCGGTATTTCGCTGAAGGAACCTACGACTTTCGAACATGTCCCTGAGCAGGAACAAAGGACCTGAGGAGTGTGTGATATGACCCACATGGCCCCCCATGATCCAATGTTTCAGTACTGGCCGTAAGGGACAAACCATACTTATACACACACCACACACACGTCTGAGATATCTTTGGTTTGCTCTTGTTTGAATCCTTTCGTTGAACATCATGTTGTTTCTATCGTTGTGTCCGATGTATGCTCCCCGGGTACAAATCTGGCACCCCTCCAGTCCCACCGTCGGGCCGGGCCGCTGTCTCGCAGGCGCTGAAACTGGCGGAGAAAGACACCCTGGCGTCGGCGAAGAAGCCTGCCACCATCCAAGGACTCATAGAAAAAAATGCGGCTTTCCTTTTGGGTTTCCTTAGACTCCTTAGACAAAGTGGGCACATAAGCTTGTTTTGTAATCGTGGACAGATTCTTAATGATAGAGCCATTGGCCCAAAACATGTGGCACGTTGCTCCGCTTTTCAATCACGTAGGAGGTGAAAGGGTGCCCAGATGCTTCGCTATGCGACCTGCGAGGGTTTCGGGCGAGGGTTGCGAGCCAAGTGGCCAGATTCTTCATCCTGGTGCCGGTACAGCTGCAAAGAGCATGCAGAACAAATGAAAGTGAGAGCCACTTGTCTTCTTTCTGGCCTCCTTTTGCCATTCAGGGAGGGGAGGGGCTGGCGGCGGCAAGCCCTGGCTGCCTGCATGTGGGTACCGGCTCACAGGAGGCCACCTCACTAAAGACGGCTGGGAGATTAAATGCCAGGCGGGCCCTGTCTGCTCGGGCCGCCATTTGTTGTGTGGCCATTTGGTCGGGGCGCCGTGACCGGCTCACTTGCGGGTTTGGATCAGCGAAGGGCGGTTCCGGGCATCTGCGATTCGCCAGAGGACCGCTCCGCTCCGAGCCAGCTCTTCTCGGGAACGGTCCCAACCCAAACTCAAGCTGGACTCGGGGCACTTGTGTTTCTTGTGGGATGGGGGAGGTTTTTCTGAAGACCCCATGTGAGTTTGGTGGATCAAAAAACCGGAATTCCAAAATGGGTTGCCCTGGTAAGTGGGAACCTGGACCAAGACCTGCGGTTTGCCCCTGGTCAATTTTGAGCCACACCCATGGGAGTTTGGTGGCAGCCTGTCTACTGGGAATTCAGCTGGCTTCAGGTGGCCGCACCCTGCGAGCTTCGAGTGGGATCCCTTGGGAGCCGCTGCGGGATGGGGGGGGGGGCGAGCAACGCACAAGTCTGACTTGTTGCGAGCCAGGTTGCCTTTCTTTTTTTGAGATGAGCCCAAGCCCAAACGAGAGTGGGTCTATCCCAAACGAGAGTTGCTTCAGAGAACCCGGACCTTTTTCAGTTCCTTACCGGCTCCCGCCGGTATTTGGCTCCCCGGCGGCGGTTTTCGCCGCAGGTGGACGCGTCCCGGAGCTGCCAGTCCCTGCGGACGCTGGACTCGATGCGGAGCCTCGGCCCCGCCAGCAAGGCCTCGCAGCTGGTGCTCAGCGCCTGGGATCGAAGGGCGCGGAGGCTTTGGAGGTCAAGGGAAGTCACTGCCCATGGGACGTTGCGCCGGTTGCGCAATAGAAGAAGTGAGGGTGGATGCAGGTAGAGAGTTTTTTTTTGGTTGCTCCAATGACTTGCATGCTATGGGCAACTGAGTTCGACATGCTTTGGCGATGCTCAGGAGAAGTGGGCGACGACAACACGGCGGCCTACGCAGCGGTTTGCTTCGAGAGGATGCTGCAGCGCGAGCAGGACTGGGCGGCAGGCTCTCCCTCTGCGCGCCGATTCGTGGCCGAGTCATGCGGAATGCGGAACCCAAGCAGATGAAGTCTGCAATTGATGGAGCCTGGAACCTTAGAAGCCAGGCAGCTTCCCCGCTGAGATTCCAAAAGCAGCCTTGACGCCAGCCCGGCGGTTTTTAGCTCGTCACAGATTTGATGGGGAGTTCGAAGCTTTGACCCCTTCCGGGCAACGAGCACGCCACAGTTTTCCACGGTTGGACTCTTCTAACAAATCAAAGCTTGGGGGCCAATTGAGCAGCGCCCAGCACTTTTTCCCCCCCAAAGGGCCATTTTAGATGGTTCTACTACTTGAGTACCTTGAGGTTTTTAGTGGGGCTTGTAAAAGCTTTTACAACAATGTTGACTACGTTGGTCTGGTAGAGAAACAAAAGTCGGCAGGGCTTTTGGTGCGCTGCTCGATCGGTGTGCACAATGAAGCGAGGCCTCGACCTTTTTGCAAGGAGCTTGACGACAAGTTCTGCGTGTTCTACCACAGCTACAATGGTGTCGCAGCTGCATTGCAGCGAGAGGCCCTTTGAGTCTAGCACCCAGGAGCGAATCTCTGAAATGAACTGGGGTGTTGTGTGAATGAAGGCCCAAAGGAACACGGGGTGCATTTGCCTGGACATCCATAGGAAGGCCACGCAACTTCAATACCAGCAAGGCCCCGTCCTGTGCTCCAGCTCCACCCCGCCTTTCCCACTTGCTTTTTTTTGTTTGGGGTTCCTGTTTGGGGGTTCCCCCTTAATGGATATTTAAAGGGACACCAAAAGAGCACTTTCAAGTTTTGGGTCCATCGGTTTGAGAGCCCACTTTCATTCTGCAGATGGACGCGCTTCATGCGTATGCTTTGACCTGGGCATGATTCGCATCACAGACATGCACATGATCATTCATTTGGACTGCGCTCTGCTTCTGGGTTGACTGGCTACTCCGCTGCTGCGCTGGTTCATGCTCGTTGCATCATTGGCTCCCTTGCGCAAAGCCGCCTGTCGTGATCTCGTGTCATGTTTCTTTGTTTTGCTTCTATTGGACCAATCTCTTTGCGGGCAACCCTTTCTCCCACCACTGCTACGTACCTGCAAGATCAATCTCCCTTTGAAGGGGGCTCTTTCTTTTTCAGCTGCCACGTCAATCCACTGCCGGGCCTCCAATACTAAATACTAAATCTCTTACAAGTAAGGGAAAGCGGATGAGTTGGAGGGAAGGTGTTTCTCACTTTTCCGCCCGACAACATTTGGATCAGTTGGTCGATTGGAGAGTTGGTGTCAGTTGGTGTCAGTTGGTCAGTTGGTCAGTTGGTCAGTTGGTCGGTTGGTCGGTTGGTTGGCTGGTGTCAGTTGGTCGGTTGGTTAGTTGGTCAGTTGGTGGGTTGGTTAGTTGGTGTCAGTTGGTCGGTTGGTTAGTTGGTGTCAGTTGGTCGGTTGGTTAGTTGGTGTCAGTTGGGTTTAGTGAGTTGGTGTCAGTTGGTCGGTTGGTTAGTTGGTGCCAGTTGGTCGTTAGTTGGTGTCAGTTGGTGGGTTGGCTAGTTGGTGTCAGTTGGTCGGTTGGTTAGTTGGTGTCAGTCGGTTTGTTAGTTGGTGTCATTTGGTCGGTTGGTTAGTTGGTGCCAGTTGGTCGTTGGTTAGTTGGTGTCAGTTGGTCGGTTGGTTAGTTGGTTGGTCAGTTGGTGGGTGTGTTAGTTGGTGTCAGTTGGTCGGTTGGTTAGTTGGTGTCAGTTGGGTTTAGTGAGTTGGTGTCAGTTGGTCGGTTGGTTAGTTGGCGGCAGTTGGTCAGTTGGTCGATTGCTCCTGGCCAGTTGGTCGCTTGGTGGTCGGTTGCTCCGTTGGTCAGTTGGTCAGTTGGTCGAATGGTTAGTTGGTGCTAGTTGGTCGTTGGTTAGTTGGTTAGTTGGTATTGGTGAGTTGGTGAGTTGATGAGTTGGTCAGTAGGTCGGTTGGTTGGTTGCTCCATTAGTCTGGTGGCCAGTTGCCTCGGTTGTTAGTTGCTGTCAGTTGACCGGTTGGTTAGTTGGTCAGTGTGTGGGTTGCTCCGTTGGTCGGTTGGTTAGTTTCTGGTCGGTTGTCGGCTGGTGTTCGATTGCTCCGTTGGTCGTCTGGTCGGTTGATCCGTTGCTTAGTTGGTCAGGTTGGTTGCTGGTTAGTTAGTCACTTGCTCGGTTGGGTTAGTTGGTTAGTTAGTTGGTCAATTGGTCAGTAGGTCGGTTGGTTGGTTGCTCCCTTGGTCAGTTGGTCGTTTGCTGGTCGGTTGCTGCGTTTGTTAGTTGGTCGCTCGGTGGAGTTGCTCCGTTGGTTAGTTGGTCGGTTGGTCAGGTGGTTGTTGGTTAGTTGGCCCCTTGGTCGGTTGCTCCGTTGGTCGGCTGGTCGGTTGGTAGTCCGTTGATCCGCTGGTCAGTAGGTCGGTTGGTCAGTTTGTCGTTGGTTAGTTAGTGACTTGGTGGGTTGCTCTGTTGGTTAATTGGTCGGTTGCTCAGTTGGTCGTTCGTTAGTAGTCACTTGCTCGGTTGCTGCGTTTGTCAGTTGGTCGGTTGGTGGTGGGTTGCTCCGTTGGTCAGTTGGTGGTCGGTTGCTGCGTTGGTGAGTTGGTCGGTTGGTGGTCGGTTGCTCCGTTGGTTAGTTGGTCAGTTGTTCAGTTGGTAGTTGGTTCGTTAGCCACTTGGTGGGTTGTCGGTTGCTCCGCTAGTCAGTAGGTCGGTTGGTGAGTTTGGCGTTGGTGGTGGTTGTTTGCTCCGTTGGTCACTTGGTTGGTTGGGGGTCGGTTGCTCCGTTGGTTAGTCTGTCGGTTGGTCAGTTGGTCGTTGGCGAGTTAGTCCACTTGGTGGGTTGCTGCGTTGGTCAGTTGGTCGGTTGATGTTGGGTTGCTCGCTTGGTCAGTTGGTCAGTTGGTCGGTTGGCGGCCGGTTGCTCCGTTGGTTAGTTGGTCGGTTGGTCGGTTGGTCAGTTGGTCGTTGGTTCGTTAGTCCCCCTGTTCGGTTGCTCCGTTGGTCAGTTGGTCGGTTGGTGGTCGGTTGCTCCGCTGGTCGGTTAGTCGGTCGGTTGGTCAGTTGGTCAGTTGGTCGTTGGTTAGTTGGTCAAGTTGGTGGGTTGCTCCGTTGGTCAGTTGGTTGACTGGTGGTGGGTTGCTCCGTTGGTCGGTTGGCGGTGGGTTGCTCCGTTGGTTAGTTGGTCGGTTGGTCGGTTGGCGGTCGGTTGCTCCGTTGGTGTGGGTTGCTCCGCTAGTCGGTTGAGGGTCGGTTGTTCCGTTGGTCAGTTGGTCTGTTGGTGCTCGGTTGCTCCGTTGGTCGGTTGCTCTGTTGGTTTGTGTGTCGGTTGGTCAGTTGGTCAGTTGGTCAGTTGGTCAGTTGGTCAGTTGGTCAGTTGGTCGTTGGCTGGTTAGTCCACTTGGTGGGTTGCCCCGTTGGTCAGTTGGTCGACTGGTGGCGGGTTGCTCCGTTGGTTAGTTGGTCGGCTGGTGTTCGTTTGCTCCCTTGGTCGTCTGGTCTGTTGCTTCGTTAGTTAGTTGGTGGGTTGGTCGGTTGCTCCATTGGTCAGTTGGTCGGTTGGTGGTTGGTTTCTCCGTTGGTCAGTCGGTCGGTTAGCGGTTGGTTGCTTCGTTGGTGAGCAGGTCGGTTGGTGGTGGGTTGCCCCATTGGTCGGTTGAGGGTTGGTTGTTCCGTTGGTCGGTTGGCGGTCGGTTGCTCCGTTGGTTAGTTGGTCGGTTGGTCGGTTGGTGTTCGGTCAGTTGGTCGACTGGTGGTGGGTTGCTCCGTTGGTCAGTTGGCGGTCGGTTGCTGCGTTGGTTAGTTGGTCGGTTGGCGGTGGGTTGGTGGTCAGTTGCTCCGTCGGTCAGTTGGTTTGTTGGTGGTCGGTATGCTCCGTTGGTCAGTTGGCCGGTTGGCGGTGGGTTGCTCCGTTGGTAAGTTGGTCGGGTGGTGGTGGGTTGCCCCGTTGGCCGGTTGAGGGTCGGTTGCTCCGTTGGTCAGGTGGTGGGTTGGTCGGTTGGCGGTCGGTTGCTCCGTTGGTCAGATGGTTTGTGGTCGGTTGCTCCGTTAATCGGTTGCTCCGTTGGTCAGTCAGTCGGTTGGTCAGTTGGTCACTTGGTCGCTGATTGGTCCACTTGGTGGGCTGCTGCGTTGGTCAGTTGGTCGACTGGTGGTGGGTTGCTCCGTTAGTCGGTTGGCGGTCGGTTGCTCCGTTGGTTAGTTGGTCGGTTGGTCGGTTGGCGGTCGGTTGCTCCGTTTGTCAGTTGGTCGGTTGGTGGTGGGTTGCTCCGTTGGTCGGTTGAGGGTCGGTTGCTCCGTTGGTCAGTTGGTCGGCTGGCGGTGGGTTGCTCCGTTGGTAAGTTGGTCGGTTGGTGGTGGGTTGCCCCGTTGGCCGGTTGAGGGTCGGTTGCTCCGTTGGTCAGGTGGTGCTGGTGGGTTGCTCCGTTGGTCGGTTGAGGGTCGGTTGCTCCGCTGGTTAGTCTGTCGGTTGGTCAGGTGGTCAGTTGGTTGTTGGTTAGTTAGTCAACTTGGTGGGTTGCCCCGTTGGTCTGTTGTTCGACTGGTGGTGGGTTGCTCCGTTGGTCGGTTGGCGGTTGCTCCGTTGGTCGGTTGGTCGTTTGGTCAGTTGGTCGTTGGTTAGCTAGTCCACTTGCTCGGTTGCTCTATTGGTCAGTTGTTCGGTTGGTGGTGGGTTGCTCCTTTGGTCGGTTGGTCGTTTGGTCAGTTGGTCGTTGGTTAGCTAGTCCACTTGCTTGGTTGCTCTATTGGTCAGTTGTTCGGTTGGTGGTGGGTTGCTCCTTTGGTCGGTTGGTTGTTTGGTCAGTTGGTCGTTGGTTAGCTAGTCCACTTGGTCGGTTGCTCCATTGGTCAGTTGGTCGGTTGGTGGTGGGTTGCTCCGTTGGTGGTGGGTTGGGGTTTCCTGACCTCAACGAGGCGCGGCGCTGCTCTACGAGATCCAGGCGGCCATCGCTCGCCAGGCCTTCGAGCTGGAGGACATGGCGCCGCTGCCGCGAGTGCCGCCGACTGCAGTGTGGCTTCGGGGCGAATCGGTGGCCGGGTTTTGCGGAGAGTTGGGGCGTTGGAGTTGGGGTCGAGGGGTGGAAGGGCGGAGGTGGGGGGAAGGGGGAAGCTGGGGCAAGGTGGGGGTGTTGAATGGGAAGATGAAAACGACCACAAGTTGGTAGAAGCGGGACATGTTACGGAATTTGGGAATGTGTCAGCCCTTCACACCCCAAATGGGGTAGCCTTGGAGAAAGACAAACGCGGTTGGAGTTGGGGGGAGTTTCTCAAAATGGTTGTTGGTGTTCAAAGTGAAGCAAAAGGAAAGCAACCATTTTGGGGCACCGATTCTGATTTTTGAGAGCACACGTGTTTGGGCGATGGCTTAGATGGGTTCACCGACTTGAGTTGAGAGCAATTTGGTTGAATGGTCCCGCGCAAGCCCATTCTACTCGTGGCCCTTCTTGTATTTGAGCGGTTTTTGTTCGCAGAAGACACCGTTCTTGTCGCAGGGTGTGCGTTTTGACCCCGGTGCTGTGAGTTTCACATTGCCACACACCCGGTTTGGCAAATGAATCCGCGGTGCCCTGTGGCATGGAGACATCTTGTGCCTTTCGAGGTCCAAAAAGGGCAACCCATTTGAAAGACGGTTTGCCACTTAGCCTCCCTTTTGTGATTGGTGGCCGGGCGCCGTAGGGACCTGGGTTTCCCTTAAGAACATATTCGAGTGCCAAAAGGCTTGTGCATTGCTTGTGTTCCAGAGCAGGGGTTCATGCCATAGCCCTCAAACCACCACGCCTGGATCAATCGCGTGCGCCCCGAAGCGTCCCGTCCCACTGGGCGAAGCGGTGAGGTTCTGCTGGGGCACTTCCAGGGCGCGCGCCTGGAGAACCTCAAGGCGGCCTTCTCGGGAACCACCCTGCAGGGCCAGGCAAGGAGTCGCTGGAGTCGAGGGAGTTGGGGGAGATGGGGAGGGGTGGGGGGGGGGAGCGGTGGGAGGTTGTGGAGTTGGGGTTTGGGGGGTTCAGGTATAGTTTTGGGCTGGGGGGTGGTTTGCTCTTTTTCCCCATGGTTTTGCTGCGTTTGACCCCAGTCGAGTCGCCGGACATCACCTCGGGCGCTAGGACCACGACCCCTGGTTCCGGTCCCTGGCCATCTCTGCGTCCCCCACGCTCTACGCCTTTGGCTCGGAGGCGCCGCCCCTGAGCTGCTTCCGCGCAGGCCGGGCTCGCTCGCGGCCATGTCTCGTTTCAGTGGTACTGAATGCGGCTCGCCAGGATACGGGTGCACCGACCTTTCCTTCCAGAACCTCACGCAGCAGTTGTTGAAAGAGGCCTATGACCTCCACGAGCGCCCGGGACCGCAAGCCTGGGACGCCAAAATGCGGAGCCCTAAATTGCGGGTTCCTGAAGCCCGGCGTTTTTTTTTTTTTTTTTTTTTTTTTTTTCCGCCAGGTGCGGCTGGTCCAAAAGTGCAAGTCTTGCCCGTCTCCAAATGGACCCGGACATTTTGCCCCATCTGGCTGCGGAAGTTGTGTCCAATGTTCGTGGGACTTTTGTACATGCCGTCAGAAGCCGCTAAGATGGTTCAGTTTCTGGTGTCGTAAAAGATCCGAAGTTGACAGGATGGGCATTTCGCTTCGAACCAAAGTCACTTGTGGGGAACATTCCCAACTTTGAACAGAAGAGGCGGCCGCCTTTGAGACTCCTCTCATGGTTTTGTGCAGATTGGTACCAGGTGGTTTTGGTTTGCCCTGCGACGATCAAAGCTGCTTCGGGTGATTGTTCGTCCCATTCACCAGCAATTAAGTTGCCGTGGCCAAGAACCAGGTGCCTGACGTGTATCATTTCGCAGATAGAACGCTCCTTCCCCTCTCCCGCCCTGGTTTGATCTCTCCGCGTTCCTCTCCTTCTTCACAGAGACTAACCGAGATGAATTTTGTCAGCTTCATGGGATGTGGGCGAATCGTCGTCAAAGTGGGGAAGCGCGAAGTTGATTTTTGTTGGGTGGTTTCAGAAGTGTTGTCCACGTGGGTATGGGTCAAAATTAAACACCAGGAGGTAGTCCATGCTGCTTGCCAGGCTTCCATTTCAGATACCTATTTTTGACCATGGCTGGTGGTTTCTTTTTGAACCAACCCCTTTGAAAGGGAACGGCGTCCTAAAGGAAACGGAAACTCACGGAGCACTTGCGCCTTCTCGCGCAGGGACCAGGCGCTGCAACTGGTTCACACCATCGCCGACGCCGGAGCCAGGCGGTGGGTCAACATTGGGTTTGCTTTTGGAATCGAAAACACGGTTAGGACCCAGAACATGATTGGTTTACTGGTGTGTTTGACCCGCAAAATGGTTTGCGTCCAAATGAGGTGGACACATAAATGGTCTCAAAGCAGTGATTTGGACCCGGAAATGGCCATGCTTTCCTTTTGGCGTCCCTTCACAAGCCCAAAAAGGGGGTTCGAATTCCATTTTGAGAACCACATATTTTTCAGCGACCAGCCCGTAGAATGAAAAGAGGGGTCGGTTGGCGGACCCCACCCAGGTTGTTTATTTAAGGGCTGCCGCCCAGTGCCGCCGACCCCTCCGCTGGGGGGCCAGCCCAGGTTTTTTTTGTTCTGTCAGCGGCTTTTGGCTGGTTCAGGCTTGCTGGCTTGCTTGCTTGCTCGCTTGCTTGCTTGTTTGCTTGTTTTCAGCGCTTTTCCAGGCCGCACTCGTTTGCCCACAGCGAGCACCAACCAAAGGAGTGCTATATAGAAAGTAGACAGCTATCGGTCCCCAGGGCGCAACCAGCAAGAACAGCTTCGCGTCCAGCGCGCTTGGAGGCCGCACTCGCTTCGCTGCAGCGAGCACGAACCAAAGGAGTGTGCCGGCAGCCTGCTCCGCCGCGGCCGAGTGCCTAACGTCGCATTTGAGTCCAATATGCAGCAAAGCTATCGGTCCAGAGGGAGCGGCCAGCCACAAAAGCTTCGCTTCCCGCGCTTTTCCAGGCCGCACTCGTTTGTCCACAGCGAGCACCAACCAAAAGGAGTGCGCCGGCAGCAGAAAGGAAGAAAAGAGGCCGAACGGGCGGGCCGTGACAAAGCTTCAGCGCTGAAAACTGTGCCCTGCAGGTGCTGGAGCGCTTTTCCAGGCCGCACTCGTTTGCCCACAGCGAGCGCCAACCAAAGGAGTGCGCCGGCAGCCGATAGGAAGAAAAAAGGCCGAGCGGGTGGGTCTTCAGCGCGAAAAGCTGTGCCGAGCAGGTAGTTGAGCACGCTCGGCCTCCTCAGCTCAGGGGCAGTTGGTGTAGTGGCATCACACCCGCTCAGCACGCGAGAGGGGCCGGGTTCAATCCCCGGCCTGTCCATGCCCATGTGCGCCTGCGTTGGTCTTTCTCGCTTAGGGTTTGCTGTGCGTCTTGCCAAGGGCGGCTGCTGCGCCGCGGCCGGGTGCCGAACGTCACTTTTGAATCCTATATATAGAAATAGTATTAGTTAGAAATAGTATTAGTAGAAAGTATAGAAAGTATAGAAAGTAGAAAGCTATCGGTCCCCAGGGCGCAAACCAGCAAGAACAGCTTCGCGTCCAGCGGCCTCTTTTCTTCCTATCTGCTGCCGGCGCGCTCCTTTGGTTGGTGCTCGCTGTGGGCAAACGAGTGCGGCCTGGAAAAGCGCTCAAGCACCTGCAGGGCACAGTTTTCAGCGCTGAAGCTCTGTCACGGCCCGCTCGTCCGGCCTTTTTGCTTCCTTTCTGCTGCCGGCGCACTCCTTTGGTTGGTTCTCGCTGTGGGCAAACGAGTGCGGGCCCGCCCGTTCGGCCTCTTTTCTTCCTTTCTGCTGCCGGCGCACTCCTTTGGTTTCTTTCCTTTTCCTTTCTGCTGCCGGCGCACTCCTTTGGTTGGTGAAACGAGTGCGGCCTGGAAAAGCGCGGGAAGCGACGCTTTTGTGGCTGGCCGCTCCCTCTGGACCGATAGCCTTGCTGCATATTGGACTCAAACGCGACGTTAGGCACCCGGCCGCGGCGGAGCAGGCTGCGAACGGGCTGGCCGTGACAGAGCTTCAGCGCTGAAAGCTGTGCCCAGCAGGTAGTTGAGCACTCTCGGCCTGCTCAGCTCAGGGGCAGTTGGTGTAGTGGCATCACACCCGCTCAGCACGCGAGAGGGGCCGGGTTCAATCCCCGGCCTGTCCATGCCCATGTGCGCCTGCGTCTGGCACCGTTTGCCTATCCCTGGCACGAACCAAAGGAGTGCGCCGGCAGCCTGCTCAACATGCAGCAAGGCTATCGGTCCAGAGGGAGCGGCCAGCCACAAAAGCTTCGCTTCGTTTGTCCACAGCGAGCACCAACCAAAAGGAGTGCGCCGGCAGCAGAAAGGAAGAAAAGAGGCCGAACGGGCAAGCCCGCACTTGTTTGCCCACAGCGAGCACCAACCAAAAGGAGTGCGCCGGCAGCAGAAAGGAAGAAAAGAGGCCGAACGGGCTGGCCGTGACAGAGCTTCAGCGCGGAAAGCTGTGCCCAGCAGGTACTTGAGCACTCTCGGCCTCGGCTCAGGACCAGTTGGTGTAGTGGCATCACACCCGCTCAGCATGCGAGAGGGGCCGGGTTCAATCCCCAGCCTGTCCATGCCCATGTGCGCCTGCGTTGGTCTTTCTCGCTTTGGGTTTGCTGTGCGTCTTGCCAAGGGCGGCTGCTGCGCCGCGGCCGGGTGCCGAACGTCACTTTTGAATCCTATATAGAAGTAGTAGAAAGTATAGAAAGTATAGAAAGTAGAAAGCTACCCCAGGGCGCAAACCTGGTGCTCGCTGTGGACAAACGAGTGCGGCCTGGAAAAGCGCGGGAAGCGAAGCTTTTGTGGCTGGCCGCTCCCTCTGGACCGATAGCCTTGCTGCATATTGGACTCAAACGCGACGTTAGGCACCCGGCCGCGGCGGAGCAGGCTGCGAACGGGCTGGCCGTGACAGAGCTTCAGCGCTGAAAGCTGTGCGCAGCAGGTAGTTGAGCACTCTCGGCCTGCTCAGCTCAGGGGCAGTTGGTGTAGTGGCATCACACCCGCTCAGCATGCGAGAGGGGCCGGGTTCAATCCCCGGCCTGTCCATGCCCATGTGCGCCTGCGTCTGTCACAGTTTGCCTCTCCCTGGTCTTTCATCCCTTTGGGTTTGCTGTGCGTCTTGCCAAGACCGGCTGGTGCGCCGCGGCCGGGTGCCGAACGTCACTTTTGAATCCTATATAGAAAGTAGAAAGCTATCGGTCCCCAGGGCGCGACCAGCAAGAACAGCTTCGCGTCCAGCGCGCTTGGAGGCCGCACTCGCTTCGCCGCAGCGAGCACGAACCAAAGGAGTGCGCCGGCAGCCTGCTCCGCCGCGGCCGGGTGCCTAACGTCGCGTTTGAGTCCAATATGCAGCAAGGCTATCGGTCCAGAGGGAGCGGCCAGCCACAAAAGCTTCGCTTCCCGCGCTTTTCCAGGCCGCACTCGTTTGTCTACAGCGAGCACCAACCAAAGGAGTGCGCCGGCAGCAGAAAGGAAAAGGAAAGAAAAGAAACGAAGAAGAACAAGAAAAAAGTGAAAGAAAGAAGGCTGGTAAGGTACAGGGCTGAACGGGCGAGGGCGAAAGGGAAGGGAGAAGGCTGCCACAGTCACGCTCCAACGCTAAACGAACACTCCCCCAGCGCCTTCCCCTTGCAGGCAGGGGGGTCGGCGGATATATGCACACAATCTTCTCCCCGAAGTTGGATTGGAGATTTGAACCCCTAATTCTTGATGCAGAACGAGTTAATCCCAAACCCACCAAGTGGGAACCTGAGCCCTCATACCATTCCTCGTCCTTGCGCGGGTGTCCAGGTCTAGGGAGGATTTGAGTGCGGCTGTTTGGCTCGCGGCTGTCTGCCCAGATGCTCTAAGCAATCTTTCAACAACCTGGGGCATCACTGTCAGAGGGCCGATATGTGTAAAGCTGTTTGGGCAGCTGGCCCCACGAAGTCAAGGGTTCGGTGCTTGCGGTGATTGTTGAGCAGGCAGGTCAAGAGATGCAATACAGTTCAGATTGAGCAAGGCACTCTCGGCGAGCCAGACGCATAATTTTGCTTCTTGCACATTGTGACGGGAACAGTTCGCCGCTTTCACCCAGCGAATCTTCAGTGGCCGCGATTTTCGAGTTCTTCTTCTGCACGGTTTGGCTCCGGCTGCCATATGGCCTCAGGTTCGGTCTGCAGGTCTCCGGCTACTGCGACCGGAAGCGCTGCAGCGACACTTCGCGCCTGGGCGGGCAAATGCTGCAGATCTTCGTGTCCAAGGACATCGTGGAAGACTATGCCTCCCGGACGCGCGGATGGGGCCCAACATGTCAAGAACTCTTCTGGGGTGCCACGTTACCGTTTGGGATCATTTTCTTGGATTTAATTTGTTCGGGAAGGGGGGAATGGTATCTTTTGAGTTCCGAATGAGTGGACCCGAACTCCAGTGAGGGGTGCTCCGGCTAGAGACAGAGGTCATCTCACGGGTCAATGCTTTCAGGCGGCACCCCAGAGGGTCAAGCCTGTGTTCTGCAGGGAGGGTATCGTTGGCGTGGATCAGGTTGTGAGTGGCACATTTCAGCCAATGTTGCACTCCCCTTCGCTTGACCAAAGAAAAGGTCCAGGCAAAAGAGCACAACTGGCTTCCCGACATTCGTGGCCACGTCAACCATACTGCCCTTTGGCACTGTGTTCCACCTTGGTTCAAGATCTAAACAACCTTGGTTCAAAATCTAAAAGGCAGGGCACGCGACTATCGTCTTAGTGTTAACGGTAGGTGTGGTTGGTTTGTTCGCACAATGGCAAGCGCTTATGTGCAGAGTCAACTCAGATCAGCAAACCAAAACAGGTCATTTTGCATCAATATGATTAGAGTTAGTTTGTTAATGAAGCTTGCTTTTTCGCTTTGCTTTTGCCTTGGGTTGCTTGGCCCTGCTTGCTTGTTTGCTTGTTTGTTTGTTTGTTTGTTTGTTTGTTTGTTTCTGTCTGTCTGTCTGTCTGTTTGTTTGTTTGTTTGTTTGTTTGTTTGTTTGTTTGTTTGTTTGTTCCTTTGGTTGGTTGGTGGCTAGCTTTTTGTTGGTTGCTTGGTCTGGAGGTAGGCCCTAGGTTTGTTGGTTTACTTGCAGACCGACGTGCTTGCATAGGTGTACCACTGTGCCTTAGCTGCATTGTGTCAGCTTGCTGGAAAACTGGGCGGGGGTCCTGGTCCACTTGTCAAGCACGGCCCCTTTCTGCCTGCCCGTTGCGAGTGCTGTGCGGCGTGCATTCTGAACAGCTCACATGGATGCTTCCTATCATTGGTGGTTAGTGACATCTTTTTGAAAAATAAATCTGCATCAAGACGTGTCCACATGCCTAGAGGAACTCTGTGACCTTGGTAAGTCCATCGGTCGGGAGCGATGGCCGGTAGTCGGCATGGCCCGAACTTCATGCATCTGGACTTAGGGACGCCCTCATTTGGGCGCTCATCATGACCCTCATCGTGAGAGGAGCCATCCATGTTTCGGGGCGGGTTCCAACTTTGCTCGAGCTTCCAATTCCTTTGTGCCCGAACTTGCAGACAACATTTGTCCAGGGCCCTTGCTATTGATATTGGACAGCAGCACAGTACATATCGACTGCTGACTCGCATGGGTGCTCGGAAGCGTGGCGATGTCGGTATCTTTGGGAGTAACCAAACTCCAACTTTGGGGTTGCAGAAAGTTTCCCAGACGGCCTTCAAGTCTGCCCAGACGACACCGGCATCTCAGCTCAACCAGTTGGGGCTTGCCCAAGTCCTTGTTCCTACCTTTGTTGAGGTTGGGTTTGGAGCGTCAGGTTAGCCATTGGCTTTTTGTTGCTCAGTTTTCAGCAAGACTCGGTTTTTTTTTTCTCAGCGTTTCCCCTGAACCGATGGGGGGGGCCCTGGCAAATGCCGGAACACGATTTCAACCAGTCGTTTGACCGACCCCCCCCCTCCCCGCGTTCCGCGGGTTTTCAGGTTTCGCGGATGTGACCCTTTGGGGCTTGATTCGGGATTGAATGAACCGGACTGTAGGGGCTTACGGGCTAGTAGATAGCCATTTTCCAATTGAAGAAATCGAAACAACACATTCTTGGCGCAGTTGTGTGACTTTTTGTAGCCAATTCCCAAAAAAAAGCGAGAAAAGCGGGGACGCTGGAGGCCAGCCCTACGGCGTGCCCATCGACACCGCGCTGCGGCCCTGGCTGGCACGGCCGGAGCCGGAGAAGCCGCTGGACGGGCAGGCGGCAGGGGGCTTTCTGGGGCATTCTTCGGCGGGTTTTGGGGGCGTTTTTCGGGGTTGTGCTTCGGAAGTTTGAAGGGCAATCAGAGGGATAGGAGCAAGCAAGAGTATTTAGGGGGGGTCCGAGTTATAGAGTTTTTGAGTCGTTTGAACCTTTGTGGGGTGACATTTCTGGTTTTTAACGTTTTCATTTGAAATCCTCGCCCAACGCCGGCTTGCTGCTGCAGCCAAATCGGAAGTTTCAGAACATATTTCACGATATTTCACAATGCAGTGTGCCTTTGATACTTCAATAAGTGGTCAATGACACGGCACCCCACTCCGGACGCTGTCTAGCAGATGATTGTGAGTTCTATTGGGAGCTTGACTGATGGGCAGGAATTCAGGACTTGCGCGACTGGCACCCAGAGCCCCACGCTGGGGCCATCTATTTCGCGCAGACCCAAGCAACTCTCCTTCCAAGATGATCAACTCCAGCTCCACAATGACTCTCCTGGTTGAAACTTGGGCCGGTACGGGGAGGGCAGAAACATGGGGATTGCTGTGGTTCGTTTGCTTTTGTAGCCCTCCCAGGCTGTTTTAGGGGGGGGGAGGTGCGAATCCTGTTCGACCCAGAGATCTTCCTGGATGGCCGCCGCTCAGCTCCAGGTGTGTCTGGCGTACTCCGCCCGGGACATGACCCAAAAGGACACCACCTGGCACGGGGCTGCGATTTTTGGGTTTTGGCCCAAAAGAACCACGTGGCTTTTTTTTTTCCCCTTTCCCGTGAGGGCGAATCATTCCCTTAAGCCGATGTCGAGCAATGCAGCACGGCCTTCCTTCCAGCCCCAGGCTTTTTTCCGCAAGCTCGTCAAAAAAACCACACCGAGCGGAACTTTAAATGGGGGTCCAGAGGCTCATGGACCTTGTGGAAGGAAACCAAAGGGAAAGCAGCGAGCGGCATTTTGTCGGAGGTGGCCCTTGGAGCAAAGCCTAGGGTTCCGCAGGCCGGAGAAGATCCTGTTCAGGGCAATTCTCAGAAACCTCCTGTGCATACCAAATCCGCGTCGCACCAGTTGGTATGCATGAAACCTGGGATAAACGACCTGACTTCCCCAGAATTGCTCCCCTTTTTTGTCTCCACTACCCGGACAGTTTTTCTGGGGTTCCCTTGGTTTTCCACTGCCCGGCAGACATTTGCCATCTTTCGCTGGGAGACCCTAACTCCAGAGCTGAGGGGGCAAGCTCTTCCACTACTGCGCTGCCTGGGAGTATTTGGGCGGTAGCGAGGAGATGAAGGAGCCGGGGAAACCACGGAAAAAGCCGCCTCTTGGGGCAGCCCGGGTGAGGGGGTGAACGGGTGAGGAGGTGAGGGGGTGAGGGGGGAGGCAGTGATGACACCGGAAGAATTCCTTTTGGTGTCCCTTTGAAACCAAAAAAGGAGGTACCCTCAAAAGACCACACACCGGACTATGGGTGCCAGTGACAAGGAATGAGCCACACAAAATATATTCGCCACCCCCCATGGACCTGCAATTGGGTCAGTTTCATTGCAGCTACTCCGGACCATGAGAACACAGTTAAACCCAATTTGGAGAAACATCATATTAAAACAGCTCTTTGAATTTAACACCCAATTCCGTTCTTAAAGGAAACATCATTTTTAGTTCCATGCAACCTCTAATCGAATTAAGTTTAAGTCAGCATTGACAGTTCTTTTTGTCACTGAACGCCAAGTCAATTTTACAAGGATTTCACATCCATGTATAACTCCATTTGAATTGCTATGAAAATATGTTCAACCGCATCTTTTGAAAGGACATCCAGGGAAAACCATTGTTTGACTATGCGAAACAAGCTTAGCATTGTTCTATTCCCTTATACATATATATATATATCTATGATTCGTACTATCACAAAATATAGATTGAAGACCGCCACACATCGGTGCGCGTATGAAGAAGCCTGCTTATGGGCCGAATGACGCACCACGCAGATGGTGGAACATTCTAGATTCGGCCCTCCGTTCATACGGATTAGTGCCAACGCGAGCAGATCGTTGTACATATGTTTACTACGGTAAACAGCTTCCACAATCCTCGCCGATCAGTGAAAAGAAGTCACCAATACATTCGATCTTGAAGGAGCAGTTGATTGCCTCATGGACCCCGTTTCCGGTAACAACGCCAAGAATCGACAAGTTCATGGAGCACTTTCCCTTCATGTAGATGATCTTTTTATGACCGGGGATGACGTGTTTGAGAAGGAAATCATGGGACGACTTCGTAAAGATTTCCAAGTCAGTTCAGAAGACAAGAATGATTGCCTTTTCGTTGGACAACGAATCCAATGGAAGCATGACGACAAGCACGGTTGGTACATCAATGTCCACCAGAACGTTGCCATTGACGAACTTCAGGAGATCACCTGTGACAAGCATCTAAAGGATGGTGCACCACTCACTCCTCAAATGCATACTGCTTACAGAAGTGTTTTAGGTCAGATCAACTGGTTACAATCGCGAACACAATTCCACATTGGTTATCAATTCTCCAGGTGTGCATCCAAGGCATCATCACCAACCATTGAAGACGTTCACGCCATCAACAAGACAGTCAGAGCCATCAAAAGCATTCCGCTCAGTATGAGATTCTGGCCTCTTCGTGGGAAGACCCGAATAGTAGGCTATCCAGATGCCTCCTACCGCAATAATGAAGACAAGTCATCCCAGCGTGCGCATGTTATCTTTCTTGCAGAGCAAAGAGATCTTCGCCAGGGCTCATCGAAATCCAGAGGCCCACTGGTCGACTATGAGACGCATAAGATTACCGCCACAACCATGTCCACAACTGTTGCTGAATTGCACGGACTAATGCGTTGTTACGGTTCAGCTTTATTTCTACGCGGACTCTGGTCAGACATCACAGGCGAAATCGCGGATGTCCATATCCGCACAGATGCTAACACTCTTGTTACAACAGCATCCACAACACATCAACCAGAGCAGAAAGAAACAATGCGTTTAATCCAAATGTTGCGAAAGGAGAGCAATAGTGGCCAGACCTTGCACATGTGCGAAGTGAGGACTGTCTAGCAGATTCGCTGAGCAAGCATTCAGCGAAGGCAGATGAGCTTATCAAGGCAGTATTGACAAGCAACCTCATGAATGTGGACGCTCATCCACCGTTCCGCACCATGTTGCAGAACACGGCATTTTTGGTTGAATTGCCAGCGCACAATACGATCCAACCGCATTTGCAGGAGTCGGGATAGCAGAACCATGTTTGCTTACTGGGGAACTTGGGCATGATCCACATGTCCATGAATTTTCAATGCATGAATTTTTCCTTTTAGTGAATTTCAATTCCTCAATGCCGTGGTGAGTATTTTGCATGTGACCTTTCTTGAACCTCAAGAAATATGTGTCTGCGTCCGCAGCCAGTTTGGTTTACAACCAATTCGACCTTTGCGATCGTGTATGCTTTTTCCGATTGACAGCGACATGCCGCTCCTTGCAAGCCGTTTCGGAATCGCCAAGTCAAAGCCACCCACTCCGAAGCCGGCCGGAAAGAGACGAGCTTCTCCACTCAAGGACTCACCCATCCGGAGCGATGAAGATGACGAATCATCCGACTTCATCATGGGCGAGACCAAGGACGACAAGAAGCCTAAATCCGACTGCCAGGAAGAAGAAGACATTCCAATGGAAAGCCCTCGGAGCCACCTCTCGAGGAACGGCCAAGGCAGAAGGCAATGCCTATGCAGCCTCCGGTTCCACCACTCTGAGGCTCACACCAAAGATCAAGGCGCAGCCATCCATGACCTTGGACGAAGAGACGGAATCCGACAATGTCAAACATCGTCATGAAGAACGACTTCCAAGACGGGCAACGATGAAGGCACCTCCAGCATCCCTTGAACAATCCAAGTGGGTGGGCCCTAGCAAGCCAGAGCAGAAGGGACACCTCGAATCCTTCGCCATTCTGGAACCACAAGTTTCTGAGCATTGTGCAGCAGTACTACCGTGAGTGCCGCACCATCCAACAGAAACATCCAGAGTTCAACTACGTTCCAGAGCATTTGCGAGGGCCTCATGAGAGGCCATGCTTTTCAATGACCTGTGGGAACCTTCCATTCGTGGAGAGGACAACCATGGAGAGAATGCGTACATGGCCTACATCAAGAAGATCTACTTTTGTGTTGCCTGATCAATGACGATCCCGCGAGTTTCAGCACTGATGTCATACCAATGGTAACCCACAACGGGCAAATCGACATAAAAGACCATCACCAATGCCGAATCCATCTGCATATACTACTAAATGGTCCTATGCGACGCCCATCGTCCACTTCATCCTTTGGAGAGTGGACAGAATGAGCAGACTGTTTTCCGAATGCCTTCGACACCATCCACGAGAAGCACAAGAATTGAAGAGGGCTATCAATTTCAACCTGGATGGACCATGCGAGCTGAGGCATTGTGTGCGATCACCCATGCACGAAACTTCCTTGGCGCCATACCAGGCATATTCTTGATGACCATGCTTCCATCCTTTGGAAAATCCAGATTCGAGATAGCGTTCGTGTATCCGAAGTTTGATGGATCGTACCAAGAACAGGAAGCAAAGAACGCCATTGTCCCCAGAGACCGATGGATTGACAGCCTCACATCCAAAGCAGCATTCCGTGCACTCAGGCCTGATGGCAAGTCATTGTACCACGACAACAGCATGGAGCTGTGTGTGTGAGATGCGTCAGCGGTCACTCACGGTACGTTGAGCTGGAAACCATTGGGAGGCCCTGTGGGCCATCATACGATTTGCCCAATGCATCCAAGCCTCGTGATCAGGACCATGAAGATGAGCGCACGGCAGCGCCGAAATCCATCGAGCAGGACAGGAAGATCGTTCCGTTCAGGAAGAAGGCCGTCACATTCATGTTCCATGCCACCTATGGAACTCAGATCGAGAAGATCTTGCAGCAAGGAATGAAGCCAGGACGAACTAGCACCCCTCGGGGAAGACAACACGTCCACTTGGCATGCGTCGATGATATCATCTATGATGATCAGGAATCAGACGTAGCGCTGACCCATGTCCCTAAGGGAGGCGATGCATTGTTGATCCTCGCATTCACACAGAACAACCAGTACAACATCCGAAAAACGGAAGAAAGAACTGCCCTGTCAGAATACACCATCGATCCATGCAGCATCATCGCAGCATTCGATACCGATGGACAGCCTCTTATGCACAGCCAGTGGATCATGATGAAGAATCTCGACCATAGAACAATGTGAATCCAAGACCCAGGAGTTTGCTGAGCACTTCTTGAAGCACATTGGCAAGGGCATCTCCCACGACAAGCGCAACAACTATCAACCCGAACAAGAGCAATCCAGCGAGACCAAGAAGAGACGGCGCTCGATAGACCATGATGAGGAAAGCGTGAGTACAAAAGAAGATCGATCCGTCAAAGTCAAGGTCAAGGTCATTGTGGAACCTCCCAATCAGGCCAGTGTGGCTGAATTCAATCGTGAATTTCAGGACACTTATTTGGACCGGGAAATGTCCAAGGCCGATGCTGCAAAGGAGCTCGCCGAGATTCAGCAGATCCTTGGCACACGTGAATCCAGATGAGAACCTCGATGAAGATGAGTTCTACTTCAAACACGCAGGTGAGCATCCGACCATGGAAGAGTTCAGAGCAAAGCAGCACCCTTCGGGGTATCCACTGCGACTTCCGATCGGACTCAAGAAGTTGAGGAACTACAAGACTACAACGATCCCGAGCTCATCAAGTCATTCACGACCATTCTGGGATCCCTGATGCAAGGAACTGATGGCCAAGAAAAGACTATCCATCCAGCATTTCACTCAACATCCTGACAGTGAATGCGACTCCGACTCTCACACCGCATTGCTGGTCTACATTCGCAGCCTTGCAGCTGATCAAGAAAGGAATTACCGCCGCAAGAAGGAGTACAATCAGAACAAGAAGAAGGAGAACAAGACAGCATGAAGCCATGGAACCAATCCTATCAGCAAGGATGGAAGAGCTCCGGCTATCAAGGTTAGGAAGATTATGGCGGAGGATATGCAAGCCAATCCGATAGCAGCTACCGTTGGTACTCGCAGAAGCGATGAGACACTATGGCAACAATCCACGCTGAGAACCATCACACGGAAAACGACACCACGAATTCCAATCGATTGATCCTCCTGCACATCAAGACTATGCTCGTGAGTGATCAATAGTTTCACACCAACCCGCGTGTACAAAGTGTTTCTCACATTTCCGTTTTAGATACAGTCATGTATCTCGTCCAACCAGTACAAAGCATTTTACATTCTGCCACCAAGAC